TACTCTCTGTAATATTATTTACAGAGAGCCAACAACTCCCAACATAGTGAAGTAATAGGATAAAGTAGTATAAAAGTACAAGTGCTTCAAAATTCTATCTAAGTACGGTACCTGAAGAAATGTACTTAGTTATTTTAGCTATTTAGCTGTTTGTAGCAGCTAATGAGGTTGGATGTATAAATGATGTGAAATACTCAACTGTACTACTGCCATAGTAATCAGTCAGTGGAGGTTTGAATGCTGTATGATGAATGATAGTAGTAAACATGTCAATCAAAACAAGAATGACTTGAGTTTCACACTCACATATTGGAATGACCTTCCTGTTTCTCCTCCTGTTGTTAACAGTGTTAAACTGCTGTGAAGGGGATATTCTCCTTCTGCTGGACTCTTCAGGAAGTGTGTCAAACTACGAGTTCTCACGCCTGTTGCTCTTCGCCTCCGAGCTGCTTCGCCCCTTCTCACTAGGCCGTGGGCATGTAAGAGTCGGGCTGCTGCAGGTGGGCACCAACCCAAACCTGGAATTCGGCCTGGACGTCCACAACAATCAGGGAAGTCTGCAGAAAGCTCTACGGAGTGTCAGCCAGCTGCAGGGAGACACCAACACCGAGGCAGCGCTCAGGGTGGCCCAGGGGCTTCTGACAGAGACAGAGGAGAACGTGCCAAAGATAGTGCTGTGGCTGACTGATGGCGTGCAGCCTGGAGATGTGGACAAGCCGATGTCTGAGCTGAAGGAGCAGGGAGTTTCTGTCTTAGCTGTGTCTACAGTACATGGAAACTATCAGGTGTTAAAACGTGCAGTGACACCCCCTCTGGAGTCACACCTCTACTCTGTGGACATAGATAACATCGAGATCATCACAGAGGACCTGAGGGAGGCCATCATCAGTATGTGTGTGTTTGAAATATGAGGTTTAGCGCAGCAGAAGCAGTAGCTCCATACGAGATTAGACAGTTATTTTTAGACAGAAAAAGAGATTATAACTACAGAATTACTCTCCCTACTTTCTATATCTCTCTTACACTCTCCCTTCCTCTTGTCTTCTCTTCTCTGTAGAAATCATTCGTGCAGAACGGCTGCGCGTCGTTGACTTGACCTCCCACAGTGCTGTGCTGCAGTGGTGTCCTGTTATGAGCGCAGACAGCGGTGGTTACTATGAACTCCGGTATAACCCTGTGTGGAAAACGGACCCTGAGACCCCCCTAATTCTCCCAGGTAGCTTCAGCTGGGCAGAGCTGACCAGGCTGCAGCCTGATACCACCTACACGGTTTCCCTCCGCCCCGAGTCCAACCAGAGGCTGTTTAACACACTCTCTGTTCAATTCACCACACTTCCTGGTGAGAGGAGTTTTATAATCCTTTAATGTGAAACATACTCAAAATGTGTGGAAGAACTATAGAAATAGTTGACAAAACAAACTTACCAGAAGGTCCATTCAGTTTCTGTTTTGGAGTTTTTGATAATTTTTCATGATCATCAGATTTCTCAGTTGTCATGGAATTGTAAATGTTTGAATTTTTATTTTCCTGATGGAATCATGTTACAAAGCTGGAGACCGAGTCATTCATCAGGCTGAGTACTTGTCAGAGACTGTTGATGGTTTGTTTCTAGACAGATATTCATGCCATTGGGGAGCCTTTTACTGCATTTTTTCAGTTTCCTGTACATTTAAAAGTATTCAGTGTATTATTATTTGTGAAATGCCTTAACAAACACAACCCCTGGCTTGTACAACAAGGCTTTGACCTAAATCAATTAGAATTAACCTTAATTTGGTGCTGGCAGTCAATTTCTTACCTACGTCTCTGCCCTCCCGCTCCGCCTCCGCTTCCATCAGATGTTTTAAGCCCGGCAGTGGTCTCCGTGTCAGACTCTGGCCCTGGTCAGATCCGTGTGAGCTGGGGTCCACTGCAGCCTGCTCAAGTCCAGAGATATACGGTGGAGTACGGAGCTATTCCAAGCGGACGCGTTCACACTGTTATGTTACACAGCCAGAAGAGCTCAGCCGTACTGACCGGCCTGGAGCCGGGCACTCAGTACCTGGTCACAGTCAGCGCTCTGCATGTGAATGGAAAAGAAAGGGCCATGTCTGTGAGGGCATGCACTAAAGAGGGTACGTTGTCAGTCTGACAATTGTATACCATGTTCTTATGTCTGTGTGAGTTTGTGTTGTTCAGTTGTTCTTCCTTCCAGATAATTGATTTATCTTTGGTTAAAGGAATTCATTTGTCCTGTTTATTTCTCTTTATTGAAAGCTGACCTTTAGAGTTCTTTTGTGAGTCATTCCCACTTTTTGACTCTGCATCAGCTTCTATTGACCAGGCTGTTTAACTCTTTCCTCCATGTTTTTTCCCCCTGCCGCAGCTCCGCCTGCCCTGGTTGACCTTCAGCTAACCCAAGCAGAGCGTCAGGAGGTGCAGGTAGCGTGGCAGGCCCGTCCAGAAGGCTTGAAAGGCTACTGGCTGAGCTGGGAGAGAGAAAATTCCCACAGCTCCTCCTCAAAGCCCTCCATCTCCTCCGTCTACCTGCCTCCTACCTCTCATTCAACGCAGCTCACACACCTCGCACTGCACAGTCGAGTCTGTGTGTCCCCGGTCTACAGCTCTGGCCGAGGGGACGGGATATGCTGCACTGCAGAAAGGCACACAGGTTGGCTGAGCTGCATATAGTTATTTCTGCAATTATGTTCATACAAAACAGGTTTGGTTCATTAAAGGAAGTGTAAATTCTTGTTTCTCTGTCTCTTCTCTCTGATAGATTCCAGCCAGTGGGGTTAACAAGCAGAGTCTGCAGCAATCAGGCAGCTGGAGCAAAAGAAATGGCTGAAATCGAGCAGTGCTGGATGAACTCGATGCAGGACTGAACATTATAGTCAAAATGCAATTAATTATAGTGACAGAAAAGGCTTCATCACATAACCCTCGCTGAAAAAGAGATGATGTGATCTGAGCATCAATTCAGAAGACTGGAACTACAGTGGGATATAACCCACAAACCTTTTTTACTTCATGTTTTAAATGTTTCATATGAATGTTGGTTAAAGGAGCTAGTCTAATAGTAGCCTAAAGCTGAAGAAGCTTTGAAAGCCAAGTTAGAGGACTACTACTTTGCCTGTTAATGTTTTTTCTCGGATTAGCAAAGCGCCTGCTCTGACTGATACTGATTCATCCTTTGAAACTCACAAAAGTGTTAATATCTGAAAATTAGCCAAATGTATAACATAGCAAACTTATTTTACAGACAGCAGCATCAGTGCAAAGTTGTTTCCCATAATAAAGTTTTGGGGCTGCAGGCAACAAACCATAGTGAAAGCTAATTGGCCAACAAAATACATCCCTATATCATAGTGATGCATGCTGCCAGATATCTGTAAATAGAAAATGTATGCTTGCTATGTAGCATTTGTGGCTTCTCTCTTGATTATATCAAACATTTTGAATGTTTTGATTTTCAAGCCAACTAGGAATAAGTCATAAAAAAGGTCATCAAAAGGGTCATCGGTGTTTCTCTTGGTTTCACTCAGTGATGGACATCGAGCTGTCGAATCAGTTGCCACATGGGCAACTGGTAAAATCACAGACAGGTGTACTTGTGCAATACTGTCAGTGAGCACCAGCAGAGATAATGTGTAGCTTGTTAAGCATGAAGATAATTGTTGTATTTTGTGTTATCGGCTCTTCAGATCAGAGTAAATTCAGCATCAGCATCCTGTTATTAAGTATTTTGTAGTGAATATGTACTGTGCATATAAATATATTTTTGGATTATGTTTTGTATTTACGCCACTGAATGTATGGTCAGGTTTGTCTGGTAAAATGTTTCTCTGGGCAAATGAAATGACAAGAAAAAAGATTCCTTTAAAAGATATTTGTATTTTTGTGTCCATAACCATTTCATTTTATATGATTATAAATACAATTTTAAAAATACTATTAGAAATGTGTTCTCCTTCTGGTGGTGTTGTATTTGGTTGTTTATGGGGTCATCTAGTGGCTGTTGACTGCAATCATTACAAACTGAGTAAATCTTATCATCAATGGTTCATTTAGAATGAATAAAGATCATGTAGCCTACCATTATAAACAAAACCCAAATTTAATCCGTTAATGAAACATTCGTCAAATGAAAAAGGTGACAGTGTTAACTGAAACATTAAAGGGCGGTTTGTCGTGATCAGATAGAAGGTAATGTTAAGGACTAAAAAGTACATGGTCAATTGAAGATGTTTTAAAATTTAGATAATCTTACTATCACTTACTTTGAATTCATGTACCCACTTATCTCATATGTTTTATTAGTATAAATATTTCTAAAGACATTGGTGTGTTTAATGGTATATAAAACACTAGACCTGGCTCAGCAGTTGTTAAAATGCTAAAATAGAAGATTTAGTATTACAAGTTAAAAACTGGTGTCTTTTAGACAACTTGTGTTTGTAGGGTTTTAGTATTTTTTGGCACCCACCTCTGGCCTGGTGACGTAAAGTCACGACATAAGATTAAAGTGCACATGTTTTGCTCATTTGGTGAAAACCCACCAATGAGCAAAATGCAGAAAAACAGAAAGGCTTTCACTTCCTATAGGATGATGGCTTAATGAATCAAGTTGCAAAGTAAGCACATTTCATTCGGGGAAGCTGATTAATCTCTTGTGTTTCATTAACCTGCACCTTGAGCTCCCCAGGGCATAAAACATAGTGTGGCTTCTTGGCTTCCTGAGGGCCTAACAGGGATTGTTTTAGATCGTGACACAAAGACACCTCTGTTGTCATTTTTTTATTGTGATGACACAGACAGCATTGCCCCTTTCCACTGGCCCCAAGAAGGAGTGTCTTAAGTCAACTGACTGCACCTGCAAAGACCAATGAGGTACACTAAATGTTGGCAGCATGCTGCAGGATGGAAACTGAAATATATTCACCTGACAAATTAAAGTGAAGAGGGAGTATGACTTTATATCAGCTATTAAAACCACTTCATAGACACGGTTTTTGAGACAATGGCTGCAATGAACATGGAGGCAAATGGAAACATCAAGCTTGTAGGGAAGGGACAGGGCGCCTCTGTGTCCCCTGTACAAGGTGCCTTTTACACCATACTGGTGATTCTGGGCATACTGGGTAATGCCACTGTGGTCGGGGTAATTGGTAACAGCGCAATAATGGACCGTGGTGGGGGACGTAACTCGGACATCATCATCATTAACTTGGCACTGTCTAACCTGCTGTTGACTCTGTGGAGGAACACACTGCTTATCTTCTCAGACTTGGGAGTCCTGGTACGTGGTCTTCAAGATCAACAGTTTGTAGTTTGTTGCCAATGAGTCACTCTTTAGTTATTTCAAAGGATATGTAGATTTTACTTTTTTGTCAGTGCCAAATCATTCAGTTTGCCTACAGCAGATGAAAAGTTAAGTAGACAGGAGGTGAATTAAATGTCAGCTGGGCTGGTGAAAGAGACCTATTATCTACGTGAGTATAGGATAGTAGTCGGGAAAAGTTCTACATTTCTGAATATGCACCAGTCTCTTTCTTTCACAGCTATATTCATCCAAAGAGATTTGTCAGTTCCTTATGGGTATCTGGGTGTGGCTGCGAACCGTCAACGTGTGGTCTACATTCCTCCTCAGTGCACTCCACCGCCAGACATTGGGGCGTGTGGCTCCCATTAATGGGAACCTTCACAGGCCCCAGGGTGCTCCTAAGACCCCACTGTTGATTCTGGGCCTCATCTGGTTTCTCGGCTTTATTTACTCCATTCCTGCTCATATCTTTTCCACAAACGGGAACAAGAACAGCACAGAGGTGAGAGCCTTCTGCAACAGGAGGCTGCATGGGCTTAAATTAAATATATCAATTACAATATTAAATGAATTTAGCGAAATTATCTCATTACTGCAAAGTCTGCTGCTTACCGACCCACCTTGTTCTCCTTTTGTATCGTCTGCCTCCCTGTTCTCCTCCTATAACAGTGTCCCCATAATCGTAGGAACCTACTCTCAATCCTGCTAGAAGTCACGTTGTGAGAGGAGTGAGAGTGAATCTGACTGAGATATTCTGAGCGGTATGCAAGGGAATAAATTAGCCTACAATGTAATATACTTTTGTATATTTCTCACTTCCCCCCTGATGTTCTGAATAACTCACTAGATCTGTCACTAGTATCTTTTTAGAAATAGAGTTGAATAGGCAGCAGACCAAAACACCTTGAGGCTTATGAGGGGGGTGGACATAGTCTTTCAAAACTTATTAACACATCGGACTTGTACGACAACAGTGGTAATATTTTAATTTTTTAATCCAAATTATTGCGAGGGACAATTCAGTAATTAGTGGATATAGTATAGGGACATGTCTAGCTACTGTCCCTGCTAAATTCTACACCCTTAGTGATGAGGAAATTAAGTCAAATCCCTAAAACAACAAACATTCAATGTGAAACAAACATGGTGAGACTGGGTTGTATTTACCACTCTGTGTTCTGCATGTTCTGACTCCACTCCTCCATCTTCCTCCTCTTATCTCAGACCCTGATGCTGGTGAGCGGCACAACGCGCCCCCTGCTGGGCTGTTTGTGGAACTTCCCCTCCAGCTACAGCGGCCTGGCCTATGCCACCACATCTATGGTGATCCATGAAATAATTCCTATAATACTAATGTCTGTTACCAGCCTGGGCTCCCTTTACACACTCTACATGCACGGTAGGAGGCAGAGTCCGGTGCAAGATGCACCTGTCATAAAACGGGTGTCTGCTGAGAAACGAGCCGCCAAGGTGAGGAAGAGGAGGGTGACTGAAACTTACTGAAACAATGTTTATCATGCAGATAAACAGTTGATTGGTAAATTAAAATGTTTAATCTACAGCAGACCTGAGAATTAATTTATGGAAGCAGACAAACATGATTATCAATTGTGTTAGCAAAAGCTTTATTGGAGACAAGGTGAACATATTTCATCAAATCTCATTATCTGATCTGAGTTTCGCTTCCCTAATTCTTTGTGTCGTGTGTTTCTCCAGGTGATTCTCGCTCTCGTAATTCTCTTCGTTGCATGCTGGGGAACCAGCATTATCTCTGTCAACTATTACAACTACAACCGCGGGTCATCGGTGGAGTTTCTTCTGATCGTTGCTCGTCTTGCCAACATCATCTTCATCACCATGTCACCTGTTGTTCTGGCAGCTGGCCACCGGCGGCTGCGCTCTTTCATCAAGTCTATGCTCGCTCACTGACACAGCTTCCGACCAACAGTACACTTTGCAACTTTTTATTTGCATCAATTTCCCCCAAAACATTTAAAGCAGGTTTGTGGTTATAGGTATGAACATATGATGTTTCTCTCTGTAAACCTTTGCATGTGTGTGTAACTGGATTTGTACTTAGGTCCTCAATGGAAGGCAAAGTGCTAAAAAAAAATATATAGCCTAATTAAGGTTACAAGGATTTGTGCAACATGACCCTGTGAAATAAACTCTTTATGTAGACAGGGCTGACAGATGATGTGATGCCTTTATTTTACGGTCAGAGCAAATGGTCATCAAACTGATCATTTAGCTGATATTACAATATGTTTTCATTAGTTTTCCTGCCAATATCTGGGTGTAATATTTTGCTATGTTCAGTGTAGAAAGGATGTGATTTGAAAGCAAAATCAAAGTGTTGTGTTTGTTATTCCCTGTAACAGTGGACCCCTTAAAGATTATAAATGGTTATCAGCAAAATCTACAGTTTTGTACCATCTACAGTTGTTACCATGACGGCTACTGACTAAGGATTTCATATTTTGTCATCCTATGTGTAACACAACAAAATAATATTTTAGCTAAATCTTAAGAAGAAATATTCTAAGACAGTAGGAGACTACTCTCAATTTGAAATAGCTGGGTTTCTGAATTTGTTTGTAGAAATCTATAGTGGTTAATAATAATTAAACAAATAGCAAACTTTTAAGGATTACTTGCGGAGCTTTCTGTCATTTTCCCTATGTGCTACACTTTGGCGTATTAGAGATTGGACTGGGTTTGAGCTGTCAGGAAGTCTTGATTGTGCTAAGTAACAATAAAATATATTGGCTTTTACAAATAAACCTGACAGCGCAAACAGAAGAAAAATCAAGGAATTGTCAGAACACATCTAAGCTCAAAAGAAACAATCAATGACTCATTGGATCAGATAAAAGTATTTAAGCGATAAAAGAAACCAAGTCAGTGATTGCACTGTAATGATTTCTGACCTAGCCAAAGTCTCTCAGTTTGACCTGCATTAAATGGCTTAAAATATCTCGAAGTATAGTAAAATAATATTTGAGTTCTGTCCAGAGGAAATGCAGTGTGGCGCTTCTGGATTCAAATTGAAGATGCTTTTGTTCTTATTGGGTGTAAATTTTTGTATTTTTCAGTACTTTAGTATCAATGCAGTGCAGTCACACTTTGCTTCCATCATTCATTTGCTTTAACTTTCTCCTTCACTTGTATGACCTTTCTCTCTTTTTGAACAATAAAAATGGTTTGTTTTTCCTTCTTTCTTTTAGCCTTTTGTGATTTCGCCCCCTCATTAGTGTCATCACTGTGACATTTTAGAGCTTTAGACCACCCCATTGTCATTCTCAAGATTCTCCTTCTCAGCTTACCATGTCCAAGGGCCACCACAATGGGACTGAATCCTACAAACAGCGACGCAGAGAACTGGGCCACAGTCAGCAGCCCTTCAGCGTGCTGTCCCCTATTATGGTTATAATACGTCACTGCAGCAACCTGTAACACCCAGCAGACCACGAAGAGTGACACTAGCGCCAGGATTACATGAGCTGCTTTGCGTTCAGTGGACACATGTTTGTCCAGCTCCCCATGGGTTCCTCCTGACTCTCCCCCTGAGGTAACAGCTCGGATGTGTTTGGCCAGAGCATGAAGTGTGACGACGTTGGTGTAAACCATCAGCACAAGTGGCAGAACCTCATTAAGTGCCAGCGAGGTGGAAGCGAAGGCTGCGCCCTGTTCAACGGAGGGGAACTCCCAGACACAGCCCAGCAGAGGCCTGGTGGTGCAGCTGATCACCATCAGCTTCACAGTGACGTTGCCAGTAACATGAGTGGTATATGCCAGAGCTGGAAGTGAGAAGGCCAGATTTGCCCCCCACACCAGCCCTAGAACAATCCAAACCCGATGCCTCTCCCTCCGCTGTGCAAGAGGTCCAAAGGACACATTCTGTCGCCTCAGGGTAGTGCAGTGGAAGACACTAAGTGCCAGAGTCACCCAACAGCCCACAGCTCGCCACCACACCCACAGCAACATGAAGACTCTGCACAACCATGGAGACAGCGTCACATCCAGGCCCAGGTCAGACACAAAGATAGGCACTGTGCGGAAAAGCGAGGTCAGCAGGTTGGCCAGCGACAGGTGCACCAAAAGAGTGTCAGAGGGAGGGAGTACCGAAGGCTGTCTCTCGACAGCTGATTTAAACACCTGAGAGTATAAGCAAGACAGACTGAGAACAAAACCACCCAAAACATTCAGCTCAGATGACAAATAAATATTCTACATTATCTTACCACATGGATGACCAAGATGTTTCCCAAGGTGCCAGAAAAGACCAAGAGCCCAAACAAAACAGCCTCGACTGTGAGGACCTCTGACATGGCTTCATCCTCTGCATGGCGACATAGTTCGCTTTTTCTTTGAGAGAAGCGTGTGTGTGAGAGTCTGAGTGAAACGTCAAGGCTTCACCTGCGCCACTGATGGTCATCAAGGTGTTTTATATGCACAGACAAACAAATAGCCGTGTCACACAGAAGGCTTTATCTTTGCTGACCAGGCTCAAGGTCAATTTAATCTAATACGTTGACGCCTTGAGGGTGCATGCAAAGGCAGGCATTTTCCACATCTTCTATCCGCGTCACCAACCAACTGCAAATGCTGTCTCTTGATCTGATCACATCAACAGGTGTGGGTCGCTGTTACTTGTTGTGTTCATAACTGGCCCTGTCCCGATTGAATTGTTCATACTACTAGCGTATCTTATCATTTATCTAATGCAATCTGTTCATTTATTTTTCTTAATGTCCCATAGTTTAGCTTAATAACAATAGCTAGAATCGGACCTACAGATATATCATTAACTGCAGATCACACAGATTTAACCAATTATCCAATGCGACCTCTACGTCACAAATGGAGCTATGGCAGTCCGCTGATGAAGTGTTTTTTCCTAGTCAGCCATTCCTACTTGCCCTTGTTACTAATTGTTTACTGGGTTGTCAAGTTTCTCCCCTGGGGACGAGGCAACAATGATGCATCTTGATGATCCGTTTTTTCCATTGCGTTTGGGATTATTTATTATCCTGAGATTTTTCTTTGTTTAAGAGACCATCACGTAAACACTACAAACAAAACATGTGAACACAAATAAATCTTACAATAACTGCAGGGATTAATTTACTTCATTATATTATGTATTTCTTTAATTGGATCCTCACCCCATCTTATATAAACAACACATTTACTAAAATAAGTTAAACCCAGGAAAAATCTCCAGCAACCACTTTTATGTAGTGCAATAGTACTTAATTAAAAACACACATAATAAACAGTGTATATAATGGACATGTAAACTAGAAAAATCTGTAAATACAGGTTTATATAAGCATCCAACACCCTGTATGGTGCATCTCTTTTAGCAAAGCATTAAATGCAATCAATGGCAAATTATACAGAAAGAGACCAACGATGTATTCTCCGGTTCGTGGGTGTCACTTTACCAATGGCCAAATGAATTTAAATTCTGTTTTCTGCATTTGAACTATGTCTAAAAGCACAGGGAAAGGTAGGTAGCCATAGACCTTATCAGAAAATTGCCCCAATATTTAATAGCCTATTTAAGTATATTTCAAAACTCTAATCTGAAAATTTAGGCTATAGGTAGGCTACCATTTGTTTATGGGTTGAGGTTTGGATTATTTTTCCATATTAAAAGGTAAATTTGAGTCAATTGTGATCTGAATCATCACCAGCAGTTATGCAAACAATGAGCAAAAATAATAATTTCTTTTTTAAAGCTTTTTGTAAAACATTTGTAAATGTTAACCCAGCCTACGCACATCTAAGCATCATTACTTCAAACCTATTTGGCTCTCTGTGACCATAAAGCCTAAATGTAAACTAATACAAGATTATGAAAAAGATGGCACATTCTTATGGAAACGGTTTGCGGGTGTTGATTGCACAGGTCGGCCTAATCTGAAGTGAGGGGCCTGCAGCTGCAGCAGCACAGGTGGGATGCATCGGACAGTGCTGTCAGGACTCCGGTTGTTGTCTCCGTTATTGACAGAGCACTACGTGGGATGATGACTCACAAACCGACTGCTGATGACTACAAATATTTTGTGCACGCACCCACGCTCGCAAGCGCTCCGCGGCGCGCGCTCCTTCACGTGCACTCTCACAAAGCAGGCATCAAAGCCTTTACGTCAAGCCAGACAGGAAGACGAAAGAAAATCTGATAGCACGATAGCGGAGTCCTCACGTCCCACCGAAACAAGTAAGGGATTTTGTAGAAATGCATGTGAGTCGGAAGCTGCACTGAGGTGACTGTTATCGCCGTTTAGGCGTCCATAACTTAATCATGCACGCTTATCCTTTGCAAGGTCACTACTCGGATCTCTTACTGCCAGGATGGCCGCATGATTAAATGTTATTTCTGTCGCAGATGCATACCCGCTCCTCTCGCCCGTGGACATCCTGTTTCACAGGGATTTCGTCTGTGTGCACTGAGGCAGAGCTGATCGTATGGCAGACACCAGCCCGCCGTGTACCATCGCCCATCTGATCCACTGTGAGAGAAAATAATTCGACGTGAGGAAGTGAGATGAAAAGCCAACAACGACCCTCCCTGCTCGCCTTATCGGCACTCCTGCTCTGCACGTTACACCAGACAGCTGGATCCAGCAGCTCATCATCATCATCATCATCAACAACAACAACATCGGAGGTGAGAGGCAGGAAAAAATTGGAGACGCCCCAAAACTGGCTTAAACAGACTGACATCAGTTCCAACTATGGCAATGACAGCCACAAAAGTAGGCCATCGCTAACGCTTAAGGAGGTAACAGGCCAAGTGAATGGCTTCACTGTCAACACCAGCAGAGGCAATATTACTACTGTGACATCTGAAAGGTCTGGCAGGGCACCAAGCTGGAGCCCAGACGATGGGGTGTCTCCGCTGTGTGCCTACCGAGTGATTGAGGGAGGCATTGGGGGGCAACTGTGTTTTCGACACACTCTGCCTGGGTACAAGTGCCGCAAGGGAGACTGCAGGACAGTGGTGTCATTGAGGAATCTGGTGGCAAATATTCTTATCAATGGCAGCGTACTGTTACAGTGGACCCATGAGGGAGAATCCACGATGACTGGCCGAGACGTGAAGACAAAAGAGCCTGCATCCGATCAGAAGAGCAGGGTGGATCCTGTGACAAGAGGGGAAACTCTCAGATCAAACACTGTTTTCAGTGGCCGCCGCCACAGACGGGGAGGCTACGAGTTGAGCTGCTGGTGGAACGGAAGTTATACTCAGTTTGAGTGTGCTGGTGTCCATCTTGGATCTGGCTGCAGGGACTTTCTCCTGACTGAGCTGCATGAGAACATCCCCTACCGCATCTGCCTCCGCTCTCTGGTCCACTCCAACCCAGCCCAGAGGGCAGACCAGCGGGACTGTGTGGAGTTTACCCTGCCGCCATCTGGGATGCAGGACATTGTCATCGCCATGACAACGGTGGGGGGAGCCATCTGCGTGATGCTGGTCATCATCTGCTTGCTGGTGGCATATATCACAGAAAACATCATGAGCCCCACGACACAGCACTCATACTCCTACCACACTCACTCACGTCACTGATGTTACACTGAATCCAAGATGCACCGCTAAATAAATCATTACATTTAACATCCATGACGATCTAATCTCACAATCACAGTGACTTGTTGTCAGTAATAGTCCTTTTTTTAATCAGCAGCATAATATGATAGGCCTACACACCCTGGTATGACTGAATTGAAGCACAATCTGCTGTGGCTCTGCAAATTACATGCCTTGTCAACCTCTGCAAGGGTGCACTGAACCAATAGTACTGGTAATCTACATTTACTATTATAAAATAGTTTACTGTGTTATGTTTTTGTTCAAGGTTGTCTGTGATTGAGTCCGTCAGTCTGTTTGCTGGCAGCATTTAAACAGCAATACAATAAATGCGGTGGCTTTGAGTACATGCGAAACAGCAGTTTTTGCTAAATGTGCAGCCTGTGAAAGTGCCCAGATGTGTCCTGCTTGTCCTTGAGAGACAAAGAAAAAGTGAACTTTACTGACTTACATTTTTCCACTTAACTAAATCATCACACCATCTAGTTTTGCTTTTAGGTCTGCAGTACAGTATTTGTACCATTTTGTGAAGGGCAATCCAGTCTTGTGTACAATCTCCACATACTGTGCCAAACATCTTGAGAATGCCGTTATGTCCTGCTGTCAGTGAATAAAGTACCATGAGGTCATTTGTAATACTTTACAGCTGTTCTTATTTTTCTCCTTGTGGGCGTGTGTGTGTGTGTGTGTGTGTGTGTGTGTGTGTGTTAGGTTTTCACATCCCAGGACAATTTAGAAGAATTAAAAACAGACTGGAATTCAAAATATCTATATAAACACAATCCCTATAGGAGAAAATGGGGCTTGATCCCATTATTTAGCCTTTTCTGGATGGTTAAACTCGATACAAATGTATCCTGAAAATACTAGGAGATCAGGAGGAGAGAATGGGCATTATGTAGCCTCTATCATGATACATTCAACATAATGTCATAACACTGAAATATATATATATATATATATATATATATATAGGGAGAGAGAGAGAGAGAGAGTTACTGCAGTATAAATAGTATGCAGATTTGTGTCATCTCAGAGTCTACACTGCAAAGCACAATATGATATAGTAAAACAAACAAACCATGTTGCTGCCATTATACACACTTTACAAATGGAGTAACACAAAACCAAGCAACACCTTTATCTCTAAAACATAGAGGTAAAAGTTATGGGAAGATTAGAAATATGCAGTTGCTATTCAGAACTGTTTATGAATGAAGAAGCAAGGTAGTTTAAAAGAGCGCTACCAAACAATTAATAATATAAAGAGATAAGTATATAATCAAATATTGCATAGGATTACGAGTAGGCCCACACTGCCTGTTTGCAAAACAGTGTAACATGGTGTCTACTTGTGTTTTAGTTAAGAGTTTGAGGTAATGTTTGTGTTTTGCTTTTTGTGTCAGCAGCTGTGTCAACAGATTTGATTCACGAGTGTTGCGATATTTTTATTTAATTGCCCCGGGTGTTCTCGTGGCCACTTTTACTGTAGTAAAATATGACTTAGAAGGACAATCATAGTCTTCCCAGCATGTTTGTTTATAGACGTCATGTCTACGTCGTTACATCTTTCAGCGTGGACGGCAGGAAGCTCCGCCCTGAAGTGACATCACTCGATAAAGCCGCATTCAACTGAAGGGGCTCCGCCATTTTAACTTCCTGCTTCCAAAGAAGACGAGCCAATCGCACAGTATTTGTACTCGTACGGTTTTATTATTTAGTGTTACAAAAGGGTTTGTCTTGTTTATTTTGTCTCACAGGGATCTAACTGACTACTTGTATTTAGTTTCTGAGAGCTTGTGTCGGTTAGCTTCAGCCGGAGAGTCGCTATGCCGAGCCACCCGCTGCGTGTAGCGGTTGTGTGCTCGAGCAACCAGAACCGCAGTATGGAAGCGCACAATATCCTCAGGTAAAGATGAGCCGCCGGGACGAGAAGAAAAGGAAAAAGCTATCATGAAGTGAACCAAATCTGTGCGGTACCGAGCCGTTTTCTGAGCCGGCCACGAGCCATGTCGACACAGTGACAGGCAGTCCGTCGGGCCTCAACGCAGTTAACAATGGGGTCGCTCCTCCCGAGTGTCACACGGGGGGCTACGACCCACTTTAAACGTTTTGACTAAGTTTCAGGTTTGCGAGTGCCTAAAGTAATGGTCCAAACATGTTTTGCTTTCAAACAGATTCAGGGCTTTCGAAATACTGTACCGGCCCAACTTGTTATGTAGTTCCCCCCTCCCCCCCATATGTTGACAAGAGCGCCCCCTTTAGGGACATTTCCGGAAGGGAGCAACTGCAGCTGAGCAACACCGGGAAGCTTACCATCTCTCATCAGTCTCCTCATCCACATCCCAGTTAGACATTTTATATCTAGACTTAATTGTTTGTAAAACTACAAGTGTGTGCTGGTTTGGGGTTGTCCAGTCACTTCCCACTTGCCTAGTAAACATTTAGACTGACTGACGCAGTACAGGAGGGACGAGCTGGAAATGGGCCTACGCTCTTAGTGTGCAGTGATGTCTTAATTCAACCTGTGACCAAACATTAAACATTCAGTTTAGAGCTTGTATGTGGAGACATTTTGAAAAGCTGATTCCTTGCACGTAAGGAATGGAAAGACGCTGATTATTGCATTCTGCTTCTATGTACTAATGTTTTCTTGTATCTAGTGGTGTTGCCAGAAATGGTATGTAATTTACGGTCTTGTCCTTTTCGTCTTTGCAGCAAACGTGGATTTGACGTGCGTTCATTTGGGACAGGGTCTCATGTGAAGCTACCCGGTCCTGCCCCGGATAAGCCAAATGTGTATGACTTCAAAACGACATATGTACAGATGTACAACGACTTGGTCCGCAAGGACAAGGAACTGTATCCCGTTCTCACTCACTTTTATATACACACACATGCACGCACATACTGTATGCTGGAAGCCAGATAAGTAATCATGGCCCATGTACACTCTTAGTTTTGATATTAATCTTTGTGGAAGTTGATGCAAGTGTCACGGCATTTGAACGGCACAGCAGACGGGACCACACCGATGGGTAAATCAAGTACAGGGATTTTAAATGTGTCACAGATATATGCTTTGTTATTAAACCTATAAAATACAGAGGATGGAAAGACACCTTGCAATACAACAGCCACGCAGCAGTAAGTGCAATTTGGTGAAGATCATAAACTGTCTGTATTTGTGAGGGTCTTAATGTTAATGCTGTTGTTCCACGCTACTGCAGTTTCCCTGTGTTTTTCAACATAGACACAGTAGATATTTTAGCAGTTTGAGTAAATTAGACAAATTTAAAATATATTTTGCTAGTATTCAATTTAAAATCTGACTTGCTTGTCTTTTGTAGTCAATTGCTTTTATTAACTGTCACTGGTGTGTCAGTAATAAACACTACTTTAACAAACAAACTTTAACTAAATAGAAAGTATGAAGAAGCCAACCACAGGAGAACTATTGGCAAAGAAAACCAGTGGTCACATGTAGATGACAGTGACTGAAAGAACAACCAACAGGGAATTTAACAAGTATAAATCATGTGCAATTTTCCCGGAGAGGGAATACATTAAACAAGGAATAGGCTTCTTCATCCTGTTTGAAGAAGTGGCTTCCTGAGCCACATCTTTAAATATTATTGGTATTGATATAATCATTTATTACAACCACATGCGTTACACACATGCAACCTTGGAACGCATTATAAATAGCCTGGAATTTGCTGAAGTAAAATCTGCAATAGTGAGTGATTTCCACAATGTCTTTGATTTCATCAACATTATTGCTCCTGTCAGTGAGTACTGACTAAGTAAAAGTAACAGGTGCTACTTTTTGGTCTTCATTGATGTAGTTCAAATAATCCATGTCTCCAGTGAGTGAGCAATCTAAATTTGAACCTGCTTTTTTGTTATATATTTTAAGGCTTTCAGATAATAACTTTGTAGACTAGGCCAAATGTAGGCCTGTTCCTTCAGTTATTCTGGGTAAATAGGCCACTTAAGTGAAAATCCAGGCTCAAAAGTAGGATAGATGTGCTTCACCAAATTATTGCTTGCTTTTGCTAATGATGTTACTATTTTGGAGGTGTAAATTTTACCAGATTAGGTTGGGAGGTCAAATCTGTATTACAAATTGTACTCTATTTGTTGTATTCTTGTGACTTGGATTTCTTGAAAATATAGTCCACTGCTATAGACAACTCATCATAGTGGTTGGTCTTTTTTTATTCATGTATTTGGCCATGTCTTGCAGGATAGCCATGTAGTGATGGGGCAACATAAACTCACTTTGGCTTTGTTTTAGAAACATGGAGTGAATAATTACATTTGTGGTGAGGACAACACATGTCGGCCTGCTATTATCAGTAAGGCTTGTTGATGATGTTAATATTAAAACTTTGCTGAATGGATTGATCACAGTCAAAAGTTTAACATTTTACTGACATTATGCAAAAATGCTGTTCCTCTATTTACCTCTTTTGTCATCTTTTTTTTTTTTTCCTCAACAGACCTACCACTAAGGATTAGTAGGCTTTAGACACCACTAGAGGGGGCTGGAGTTTGTCTAATACAAACACTTAGTGACGCCATTTGAAGCATGTTTCCCATAAGGCAAACAAAATATACAGTCTCATAGAGGCAGGTGCATATCTTACTATTTTACACAGGCTCACTGGGTATTGGCCTGTTTGTTCTGTTGACTGAGATCCTGTCTCTAACAGTCTGTTGAATGTGTTGTGTTACTTTTAAATGCTTCTCTCGCTCCTGCTGTGCTCCTTGACCTCCCCACTCTTCAGATACACACAGAACGGCATACTGCACATGCTGGACCGCAACAAGCGCATCAAATCAAAGCCGGAGCGCTTTCAGAGCTGCAAGGATAAGTTTGACCTGGTGATCACCTGTGAAGAGAGAGTCTATGACCAAGTGCTGGAGGGTGAGGCTTCTTATAAGAAATGTGTAATTACTGAAGAGATATGTTGATCATGCGGCGCCCCTTGCAAGAACACTGCTTTGGTGCTAGTTTTTGTGGGCATACACAATCGCACACCTACTCCTCAATTATTTGCGCAGACCAAGTTTTTACTCCCAACACTTCTGATTGTATGACACACACTTTCTTTTTTTAATCTGTTATCGTTCCCCAGATTTAAATTCAAGAGAGCAGGAGACTCTACAGCCTGTGCACGTCATCAACGTAGACATTCAGGATAACCACGAGGAAGCCACGCTGGGTGCTTTCCTCATCTGTGAGCTGTGTCAATGTGTGAGTGTCTCCTACTGAGGGCAGAGTGCAACAGACACTCTGAGTTATTGATGACATTGTGGTTTAATAATGAAAATGATGCAGTCAATCTATATCCATAAGTAATATGAATAAAACGGTCTTTTAGTGTGCATAATGTGCCTTCCAGTGTATTTCCCAAATAGGAGATTCTGTGGTCACCTAATGACAATGCTGCCAGTGCTATGAAAGGGTGCTATGTTTCATAAATGGAGTACAAAGATTGATTTAAGTTCATTGGTGCAAATGTGTGTGTGCAGACTGTGTTTAATGTGCCTCCTCCCCCACCCCTGCAGATCCAGCACACTGACGACATGGAGAATGAAATCGATGAGCTCCTACAGGAGTTCGAGGAGAAGAGCAACAGGCCTTTTCTTCACACTGTCTGTTTCTACTGATACGCAATAGAAATTTGCAATAAACACAGGCCCAGACCACAAGCAATCAAGCAACAACACACACACACACACACACACTTTGTATTCCTCAGTCATCTACGCACAGTACATACAGATTGTGTGCCTACACACACACACAAAACACACACACAGCTTAGGGTCAGGACCTAACAAATGGCTGCTGTCGGACATATTGGTGATGATGGGTTTTTCCTCTATGCAGAGGACAGACTCGCTGCTCTTGCTCTGCCTTTATTTCTCCGTATCAAGGTCAGGCCAAGGTCCTCCCTCCATCCCAGTCCAGTGAAATCACTCAACCATGTCTCCTCAGGGAGAGCCATAACACCCACACCCCCTGATTCAACAACTCCTTTACAAGTCCCTCTGATTTTGTTCAGTACAGCATATTGATGCAGATTTTTTTTCTTTCCAGATCTATAATTGTAATTGATTTAAGCATATGTCAGATTTTTATTTCTGACTTGGGACAGTGTAAATGTGTTTCAGACAGGGGAGAATTAATTGAACTGAATGAGTGTTTTTGTGCGACCATGTCTTATAGATTATTTAGGATTAAGTTAAAGTGGGTGGGCTAATAATGAATAACCAAACCTAGACCTCTCTGAGGCTCTCCTCCAATGTGTTTCCAATATAATGTGTTGATTCATATTTAAACTTGGATATGCTGTTTTTCAGGGCATAGTATTTTTTTTGTAAATGTTAAAGAATTGAAGCATTGTAATTATTTGCAAACTGCGAGCTCAGCTCAGAGTGCCTGATTTTTCTGTATGTACATATGAATCCACTAAAGAAAGAAACATCTCTAAGAAACATGGCAGGACTCTTTATTTGCTTTTTGATATTTAATTCATTTAATTCAGTTTTTTTAGTTCATGGTGGTTTTATGTAACAGCATTAATGTAAGATTGAAAATGAGTAGGCTAATGACAGTATTTGCACTTACATCAGTGGACCACTATCAAGCTACTGGATGTTTTCAGATTAGAGTTATAGCCCTCTGTGGACAAGCAAGGACATTTTGATTATTTTAAAATATTTAGGCAAAAACATGTAAATAATGTCCTTAGTTTGGCTTTGGATAGTAGCTAATTCACATTTGCAGCTCCAACTTGTGGTTCACTGACAGAAACCGTGTGTAGGTGTTCTAAATAAAGCTGTAAACCTGGGTAATGCATAATGACAGTAGGCTACATGTGAATTATCGGTGTAGAATGGAGTCTGTCCTAATAGATTATAATTAATTACTCTATAACTCTACCTAGATATCAATTAATAGGTAGACAAGTAGTAATCCGTTACCCGTATGTAACGCTATCCAACCGACCGTTAGACTGCGACTCAAATTCAAAGGAAATCGAATTTAAATCGTTATCACCACGGTAACTAATAAACGTTACCATGAACACGTATTAATTCATAACTAAATAATAAAAATAATATTTCGTTCAAAATAACAACAAAAAAACACTGGTTTGTTAAAGTACCTGTGACTGAAATTTCATTACCAGCTCTTCCCCAGCTGAGCACGCCAGTCAGCTAAGGCACATGCAGCTGCCGGGAGCCCCGTTGTGTTGTCTTGAAGAGCACTAACGTCAATATGTCAGCTTAAAGTGAAGAGTCTGGACACGAAGGCACAATGATGTTCCTAATTTCATGGTCTTCTGCTGTGACAGAAAAAAACAACGTTAGTGTCAGATCGTAAAGTTTATCAACATATTTCTGTCGACAGTTTTTTTGTTTCAGACTGACTTTTCTCACGGACATGACCGCGCTTTTTGACCGATTTCACAACTTCATCTTATCGTTAACGCGAGGGGAAGACGGTGTCTGCGCCTGCACCTGCGGAAGGTAAATTACAATCCAAGTGTAGGCTAGGTGTAGAAAATATTAGTTTATATTGGTTTTGTGAGACAAACTACACGCTAAACGTTATAGGCTATTCGAAAACTTGCTTTGATGTCAATCAAATTGGACAGTGAGCTCCTGTTTCAGTAATCCTGAATTCACACAGCATTTGTTATGATTTCTCACTAGGAACCCTGGGTGTTGTAGCCTATATATAGGCCTACACACACATACACAGCATAGGCCTATACTTGCCATGTATTTTAAAGTTTGATGATTATTTCACTCAGTGGTTTAAACAGAAATAAAGTTTTTATTTATTGTAGCTTTTTGCTGTCATTTACAAACTTAATTGATCACAAGAGGAGATGTGTCAGGATCTGGGTGGATTACCACCTCTGCTAATAAATTAAATTAATAGCCTGTGTAGGATGAAACATTTTATACTTTATTATGTATGTATTAATAAATAAATGATGCTCTTTCTTAAAAATTTTACATGTTGGAAACATTTGCACCAAACAACCACAAACTGTATCTATTGAGACAAGTTCATATTAGTATAGTAAGTTCAATGTACGACAGGGGAGTGAGGATCTCAGATTTTGTTATCAGATAAAATAAAATGCACATTCTCCTATATCATGTTTCAGCATCATGGGTTCATTTCTGTCCACTGATGCTGGTGTCTCTTTACTTTTCTATGTGCAAATCCGCCACCACTGGTTACTGCTTTGTCTGCTGCAGCGATCAAGTCTATCATGTTGTTCCATATAACGGGGGCCGAGCTGGGGTGGATTCTAGTGAAATCTACTTTTTGAGTGACATCATGACCAGGCAGGAGAAGGACGTGATAGTTGGACTGCTCTTGGGCCTCTGCATCAGCTGGTTCTTGCTTTGGCTGGATAGTGTTTGGCATTCAGAGCTCAAATGCTGGAGGACAAACCAAATGACTGGTGAGTAAAAAGCCAAATGAAAGTTAAAGGGGTTCCTGAAGCTAGGCCCCTTGTTATATATGAGACATGTATATATTTTTAACTATAGTGTTCTCATAAATGAAAGTTTTTAGCCCTGTATCACAGCAAATTCATGCTTTTTTGTACAAAAATAAATCCTGTTTTTGGTCTGTGATGTGTTGAAAGGAAGAAAACCTAACCTTAACTTTACCAAAAATAATTTTACATAACAATAACCCCCCAAAAATAAAACAGAAAACTATAAATTAGTGGTAAAATTACAAAGAATCAGGAGCATTTTGGGATAAAGTGTTGATCTTTTCTTGTATTTTAGCCCAGTTTTCCTGTCTTTCTTTACAGATGGGGGTTTTTGGTCACGGATGCCTAAATTCTCGTTCAAGCAGTTGCATCCAAAACACACAAAGGGCCCCGAGGAGAAGCAAGATGTGCACCATAATGTTAATGAAAGCATTGACAAAGAAAGTGTGGATTAAATGCAATAATTACTGCATGTGCTGTGTTCTTTTTAATAGCCTAATAGTCCCTACGGGTCTGACTGAGTCCAACACGACATGTTTTTGGCCATTTTGTAATTTTATGAGAGTGTGTATAGTAGGGAGCTTACAGGAAATGAAGAAGAGATGAGGGAAGACATGCAACAGAGGTCTCTAGTGGACTCAAGCTGGTGATGTGATTATATGGTGTCTAAATCCCAGCCCACCTCAGTCCAAACCTGATTGTATAAAAGAAGTCCAAACACTACTATAGCGGAGAAAATGTAACTTTTAAAAAATAACAATAATATAACTCTTCCAAAAAGTTACAAAGGGCTTCATAATCATAAGTAAATCAAAGACAAAGGACACAAACAAACATAGAGCCGTAAATTATAAGCAAAAACCATAGTAATAATGAAAATATTAAAGGCAACCAGGATACAAAATGATAAAACTTCAAGAATATAAAAGGCCCGCAGTAAAAGTATGTAAGAAGATATTAGTGGCTCTGCCAGTCTGAAGTCTTAAGGAAAGTTTTTCTAAAGATGCAGAGATGCAATGTTTTTCTTTATCTGTGATACCAGATCAATTAGGGCGTTCCTATCTATGGACCTGAGGCCACATACCAACTTACAAGGAATGTAAAGAGCAGAAAGCTCCACCTATTTAACATTGCAAATATTGTCTGACTCACAATTTAGAGTGTTAAAAAAGTATCAAAATTAATGCAGCAGAGCCAGAGATGTCATCTGCTTTCTCCTTTATCAAAACCTGGCACCTACCTGTGCAGAAATAAACAATAATAGATACACCAAGCGTTAAAGGGTAAATTAAGCATAAAAAACACAAAGGGAAAAAAGGAAAGCTCAAATTAGTTAGTTATTTTTTGTGGAAAAAGCTTGTGATGTGGAAGGAGGGAATTGTGAGTTAAAGATTACTGGATGTCAACTAAAGGACTTTAAGTTAGATAGAACTATTCATTGGAAATGAATTATCAAAATAGAACCCCACAAAATCATCACCATTGATCATTACTGAAAAGATCAATGGTGATGATTTTTCTCAAATACAAACAGATATTGGTAGATCACGATACTATGGAACAGGGGAAAGAATATATTGATGATTAATGGGAGAATTCACAAAGCAGTTAACAAGGTTGTGGGCAGTGGGCAAACAAGTGGGGATTTAAATTTTCAGCTGAGAAAACAAAAATAGTAGTTTCAACCAGGAAAACAGTTCTCCCTCTCCCTGACATGAATCTGAAGCTTTATGGAAGAGCATTGCGGATGTTAACATGGACCAATTGTATTAACTAAATAGTGCAAAAGTGTCAGAAAGTCATAAACATCATGAGGTGCCTGAGTGGGGCTGAATGGGGCAAACTTCTCTTCAGCCTGGGCTTGATTACGGTAGTGTAGTGTATGGTTCAGCCTCAAAAACTCTGTTGGAAAAGCAAATAAGATACAAGCTGGAAGACAGTAGTGTGGAGCAGTGAAGTCCTGGCTGGAGAGACACAGACGGAAGCTGTTAATGAAACTACTGGGCTAACCTCAAAGGACATTGCGGAGTGTACAAAATCAGTTCAACATTTTGAAACACAGAAAGGAAAGAAGAGGTCACGTTCAACAGCACAACAGCATAAGTTTACAGTATAAGTCTGGTGTGCATTTAATCACGGATTGCAATTAGTATGAACAAGATTTGGAATAAATATAAAAACATGAATAAACCTGTTGAGTGGATCCGGCAGTAGACCTTTCTTTGATTATATTGAAGAAAGAGGATTAATGGGTAGGATCTGATCTCAGTGCTTTCCAATCTTTTTTGCCTAAGTACCCTTTGATAGATGGGATGGCTTCATCGTTCAATGGTATCATTTAGTAGTTTTGGTTTACATTTGTAGCCTACTAGGCTACTGCCGTTTGGAGTGACAGAAACTGGTTGTTTCAACCATTTGCCTTATCTTTTAGCTTTTTGCAATCTTATTTCTGACCATTTTCTACAGTCTCAAATTACAATTGACTCATGTGGAAAACTGCCATAGTTGGCAAGTTACTGTGACAATAACTATAAAGATCAGCATCACACAAATGTCTGATCTTACTTGTGGGTTGATTTTACTCCTTAACACAAATATGAGCTTCACCGCTGGTTGCCAACTGGGTTACAACCCCCGACGAACCCAGTGTGTAATATTTCTGAGGATCTATTGACAGAAATGCAGTATAAGATCCATAACTGTTTTCACTGGTGAATAAAGACCTCATATAATGAACTGTTGTGTTTTTTATCACCTTAGAATGAGCCATTTCTATCTATATAACCATGAGTCCCCACTTCCATGGACGTCGCCATGTTGCGGCATCATGTTTCTACAGTAGCTGAAAATGGACAAACAGGCTATACAGACCGCAATTCGCCACTACGTTCCTCTTCTTCTTGTAGAATTCAGGCAGTGTAGAAGCTCATCACTACACTGAATACGCACATTTGAAGAAGAACAACAACAAGAAGTAATAATATACAGCAGGGGCCGTATTACAGAAACGTCCTAACTGGCAGATCCTATCCTAACTGCTTGGTAACCATGGTAATAAGGGTTAGGAACTGATTTAGGAAAAAGGCCATTACAGATTAACAGTTCCTAAGTCAATGTTCCTTTCCTAACTTTAGATAAGAAAAGTGTAGCCTATTACAGAAGCATCCTAACTTCGTAAAATCTTAAATAAACTCTCCTAATTTTAGGATAACTGTTAAGCTGTCCTAACTTTTACTTTTCCACCAGGTAGTGTTTGCTAACTCCTTTAATCCACATGGTTGCTCTTTAATTGCTTTTACAAAATCAACAAAATGTCAACAGGCGGAATTTGATTCTGGGTGGTGATGCTGCAGTGGATAAGATGCCTGCCTTTGGTGCGAGAGACCAGGGTTCAATCCCCCACTGTGACGCATCTACCAATGTGTCCCTAAGCAAGACACTCTAGTTGCTCTGACATAACATTAGCAATTGTAAGTCACTTTGGATAAAAGTGTCAGCTAAATGAATAAATGTAAATTGATTTGATGATAAAATACTCATTAGTGGAAACATAATGTAAAGGCTTGATGTAACAAAAGGGTCCTAATGCAAGTCTTTGATAGGAGGATATCGTTAAATTCAAGAAATAGGCCTCCACGAAAAACATGATGACATTAGCCCGCAGCCTTTATTATGATTATTAGCCTATATTTTTTTTACCTTCATTATTAACTTTCCCGAGAAGAGTAGGCTACGGGTTTCTGCCGGGGTCAGCGAGGGAGCACAGGAGGAGCCACCAGTGGTTTCATCTGCTCTTTGGACACTACAGTGGCCTGTGTCTTCATATCACTGTAAATGGACAGCATCAGCGCTCCACTGGGTGCCAGATAGGGTAACATGGGGTAAGAAGCCCCCTCAGTTAAGATGCGCCCCCATGGTAATTCTAACAAAAAACATAAAATGTCACAATTTTTTTTTCTGAACATTTCTTCTGGCTGCCCCTAGTCTCACTGAACTAATAATGTTCTCTGTTTCATCACAATTATTTAAGTTATTTGAAAGCTATTCTGACCTAATTTGATCAAATTTTTTTGTCAGTTAAAATAAGTTGTACATTTTTTTTATTGTGTTCAATTTATATATATATGTATATTTACATTAAGTGGAGCCTTAAGTTATGCAATTGTTTAGAGTGAAAGATTTTATAGTTTTTGGTTAAAGTAGTAAAATGCTAGATCAGTATGTTTGGGGTAAGATGCATAAGACACCATAGGGGGGAGGGGGCATCTTACCCCATAGTAGGGGGTATATTATGTTACCCTAAGCATGGCCATCACCAAGATATAAAAGAACCCTATAAAATATTATTTTATGTGTCAACAAATAGACATTGAGCTTAGGGGGGCGTCTTACCCCACTCTACCCTATGCTGCGGAGACTGCGTCCACTATTTTAGCCCACTCTCTCTCTTTAATCTCCCCAGTTAAGCCTTATGTGGATTTGGATTTCTCGACGGAGGTTACCAACAACTCTAAAGCTGATGATACACGGGGAAACTTTTTGAGCAATGTTGCTGTGCAATCTTGCTAGTGGCAAGTCCGACTATGTTTTGAACGCATAGTGGCGGTGCGGGGTGGGTGGCAGAGTGGTGGGGGAAGGGGATTACGGTAGTAATCTTTACTCATTACCATTGACGGCAACGTTGCCCTGCAGCATTGCTCTAAAAGTTGCTCTGTGTATCATCAGCTTTAGTCATCTGACTTGAAGTTCAGTGATGGTTGTTGTTTCTGCTCCATTTTCAGGGTATGTTTCATTAAAAGAAAACTACCAAAAAACAGTAATTAAAAGCCCAAATTGAGAAAAATCCTATCTTTGACTCTTCCTATCTTAACTTAAGACTTAAGATAGGACAGTTCTGTAGGCTAATAGGGCCCTAGGTGTCAGAAAATAAGTTTTGCATCTGAGGCATTTTTTCAACGATTAGATGGGGGGGTGAGAATATAAGCATTAATTAATTAACGCCAACAATTATTTTATCACACGTTAACATAGTTTTTATTATTATTATTTTTAAAGTCCGTTGCTCACTGGCTCTGAATAGGCTAAACAGTCAAACAATTGGTCACAGGAGGGGAGGGATGTTGATCAGCCTGCAAATCAAGTTGTGTCAAGCAAGCTACAGACTCTTTTTAATGTCGTTCAGAATTTTTCATAGTAAAAGCTATCAATTCAACTCGAAAGAAAGTATTGCAGCAAAAAACGTTCTAGCTCTTTTAGTTTGCAGAAAAAAACACTAAAGAGGAATTGATTATGTGAGTAACTGTTGCTGTCATAACTGAGATCTGTTTCAGCACTGCCAGATATTATTGCTGGCGGGCACTTTTGGCGATGGTCCATAATCACAGAGAAAATTAATGTGTATCCCATGTCAATGTTTGTATAAACTTTATCTGTTATGTGGTTTATAATGCTGTGGTGCAGAAACAGTGACACACTCTTGGCTTACGTTTTCCATATTATCTGTCAGTGGACAAGCCGCAATAACATGGTTTTACTGAATAATTAAGTAAATATAATTTCTTAACCCTTAAGCAGCCAACGTGCACCAGGAGATACACACTGTTTAACATCATCTTGAGGACATGATTAAAGGTTTTTACCCAATCAACTTATCATTTATCAACAGTCTTGCTTGGTGTTAGTATCTTGGTCACATGATTTGGTTCAATTTATCTGTTATTGTTTAGTCAACCTGATCAAAATTCTCCGTGGCCGCCAGAGGTGCAGGACATGCTGACCATGACATATGTAATTACATATTACACATATTTGTTTTCAGTAGAAAAAATATATATATTAATGAAAGTATATCCCTGTGACCCTGTACGCAGGATAAGCGGTTGACGATGGATGGATGGATGGATGGATGGATGGATGAAAGTATATATGAGTATTGTCTTAATATGCTGATGAAGAAAATATGGTGTCATTGTGTTTGTGGAGTTTTTCAGCAACTTTTAATGTATATGTATCCCACGAGATACGTTGCCAGATTAGGGGTAAAAAATGGTCAATGTGTGAAATTTAGTTTTAAACTGGAGGAAATGTTAGTATACACTGCATAAACAGTAGGGGTGGGGGGAAAAATCAATACAGCATAGTATCGCGATATTTTCCATGGCAATATTGTATCGATACACAGGCGTCAAGTATTGATCTTTTATTATATAAATTGTACATGAGAATTTTACTTTTTGATACTATTATAATAAAATCAATTGCTTTTTCAGTCCATGAGAAAAAGTTTTCCTTTGGGGACACACATTTGAAGTTGGGAAAAAAGTAATGAATTACAATATATCGCAATATGTTTAAAATCGCAATAATATTGTATCGTGACAAAAGTATTGTGATAATATCGTATCATGGGGCCTCTGGTGATTCCCATCCCTAATAAACAGATATTATCAGGTATGAAGATTATGACAGTATAACCATATTTTTTAACTCATTTTATGGCAGCAGAAAGGCGATTAACGTTAGAGACATGAGAGTGATAGAGCAGTGGTTCTCAAACTTTTTCACATCAGGGACCCACAAATTAGCCCACAGACCCCCATTTGATAAGATTTAGTCTCTGGGTCCCCTATCTGATGGGATGCTTTTAGATGTTTTATTACAGAAAGTGTATGAAACCCATGACCAAAATAGTGAGACACTCTGTCACTGTGCTACTAATGGATAGAATTATAACAAAAATAAAGTATTCCCCTTTTTGGTGGGGACCCCCTAGAACCCCCTCAAGGACCCCTGGGGGTCCCCGGACCTCACTTTGAGAACCACTGTGATAGAGGACATCCCATCAAGCTCCTCAGACTCAGACTCCAGTGATGAAGATGAGGAAATCATGGAGATAGAGTCAGCGAGTGATGGTAGCTATTCTGAGAAGGAGAAGGAGGAGGACATGGATCAAAAGTCCAAAAAAGCCAAGGGATTTAGGTGACAGTGCTTTTATTGAGGGACATTGATATGTGCAATCTTGAAGAAAGTGCAGTTCATAATAATTATAGTGTAAAACACCCAAGCATTAACTTGCAATATCAATAGAACTGGAAAGGAATGACAAAATGATGTAATATGATGACTGGTGGTTGTCATGAATAGTTGTGATATTTACTAAAGGTAGCATGCTAATCAGCTAACTTTAGTCTCGACCTGCCTGCAATGCCACTTTGTACCTCAAGAGTCACTATGGTGTTCAGTACCTGTATGAGCAATCCACAGTACCTAAAACTGTCGATTTTCCATTTTAAGATCTATATACACACAGAATAAGATAGTTATGTGTAGTGGTGTGTTTCTCTGCAGGCTTACAGGTTTTTATCCTTGCTCTTGAATGCACCTCTGGAGCCTCAAATTAGCTCCACCCAGATCAAACCCCCTCATTAGCTGAGCTTATTTAAGGCAGCTGTAGCATCATAGCTGTCTTTGCTTTTTCCCTGCCTATCAGTTGCCACGTGAACCCTCTGTGACGTTTAGGTGGATGAGTGAGTGAGTAAGTAGGGTATGATAGCTACCTGAGGTAACTGTAATTTACTTTTATAAATCTGTTGCTAATATGTGTTTTTAATTGTAGGTTGTCAGCTGCTGTTTTGCCTTTTGTTAAACTAAGATTTTAACCATTGTTGCTGGTACACTCTGGCTGTAGTGCCTCCAACCGCCACTCCCCTAGTTGACTATGTTTGTATTTTAGATATAACCAACTGGTCTATTGTGTTTTATTCAACTTCTTGTTTTGTTCTTTTCAGTGGTTCTAGTAGTTGGCTTGTGGTGGAGGCTAGGCACGCTAGTGTGGGTTCCTTCACTGATTGTAGTGTTAACGGCACTGTGACACGATTTGGTAGTGACACGATTTGCAGTGAACCGGTTTGCAGTGACTTTCGATTGCAGTGGGCACATGTGATGGGTAAGTTGACGCACCCCTGGAGCGCACCCTTAGATTGCCTCCCCACAGCTGGCCCTGGCCCACTCTGTCTATTTGTTTGATTCAATAATCCGTAATAACTGGGAGTGTATTGTTAAAAATAAAATGAGTAACTTGTTTGCCAAATTTGTAAAACTTTCGTATTCCATGGTAATTTGATTATTTGTATTATTCACCATCCTCTCTTCAGGCACTTCCAGTTACCAATTATCAATAAATAAGTTATTCTTTTGGAGCCACGTCTCTGTCTTACTTCAATAAACCTGTGTAGCCTTTGTATAAAGGTTTAGTCAAAGTAGAAATGGAGCATTTCCTGGGGTGGAAGTCTACAGGTGGCGTTGTCGGATGGTTAGATTCTGGTGGTTCCTCTTTTAGCGTCCCCACCAGCCTGGCCACATTCGGTACAGGTGTCTTGTGAGGGCTATACTTAAGTTTGTGTGGAGTAAGTGGTTTTGACAAACAAGAACATATCACTTCTCCATGAAATGAAACATTAATGTTAACTATATTGATCTTAATAGGGCAACATATCCTGGGAGATGCAACTCATCTGAATTAAAAATATGAAATATTGGAAATGTTTTACTTGGTTGCAAACAACATAAGTTATAACACAATATTTTTTACAACTAATTTTCCACTTCTGCCTGCTTAAGGGTTAATATATCTACCAAAAACTAATTTCTTGACTGGCTACTCTCTGCTGTCTCAGACACCTTTTGTCCTGTCAGCCACTGTAGCTGTCCTATGCTCTTTGACAGGGGAGGGGGCAGTGGTAGACTGGACAGTGGGTTGCAATTTGCAACCCTCACCACTAGATGCCACTAAAACTTACACACTGAACCTTTAAGATAATGTTAGTATTGAGTAAAATTAAGTCTTAATTTATATTTATAAACATTTGTTTAAAGTAATAAATCATTAAGATACCGAACATGAGATTTATCAGCTATGTCTTATTGTTTAGTGCAAAAGTAAAGTAGGCACAATGTCCAGAAGTTCATGTCCAGCTCTCAGGGGACCATGTTTGTTTAGACACCTTTGCAGGATGGTGGGCTTATATTATAGTGACATTAACAAAATGAGGGGAATAATTTTAAGTTCACATAGGGTAAGTTCATCTTAAGTTATATTGTTACTATCTGCATAAGATTTATTAAATTCAGTGAGAGATTAATCATGGATAGGCCTCCTCCCTTGACAAATGTGAGGTGACCTTGCTGCGGTGCTGTACACTGGAAATGTGTACATGTTTGACAGGCTCACCTGGAGATCTGACATCTAAACTGGTTGTAGGACCTACAGTCCACATCAGAGAAAGGTTATCCATTCAACTAAGAGTATTAAGTCTTGCCACTAATTGATTTTTCTAAACTGTTCCTGTACAACCTAATGGAGCCATCCTATGTCTGACAGGGAGTTTTATCATTTGGCCTATTCAAGACAGACAGCTTCATGCCCTTGACTTTGCTTTGCAGAAGCTTCCTCAGCCATTAGACTGAAATCCCATGTGGATTCCTATAGGACAGTATCCCTTATCCAATCTTAACCCTTCCCCTCCAGTTATGTACTGTGTTGCTGTGCCCTGTCTCTTTCATAACCATATTACATAAATATTTTTTGTAACCTGTAGCAATATCATTGTAAGGTCTAATCTTTCCAAATAGTATATCTGCATTTTATAGGGTTAAAATGTAGCTGTAGGAGATTTTTACTCAATTGTCTTTATTAAAGTGTCTTCAACTGTAATCCAAGCAACATTGTAAAATTTAGCAACTGTACCCCAAAAAGTTTGTAAGAAGCACAAACTGTTACTGTTTAAAAAAACAGATCCGTTTAATCATTTCAACAGACACTCCACTGTGCACAACACTTATATACTGTTATTACAGACACAGTCCGGTTTCCATGTCAAGTACACTTTTACAATCTATACATTATATTAGACTGAGTCTCGGGCGTCATTTGTGTTTTGAAATGTTAACTGATTATCTCCCCCCAACCCGCTGAACTCATCATCTGTCTTCAGCAGTCCAACAGACTTTAAGACGTAGACTGACAGACTAGCCGAATGAGCAGGACACGAATCTTAATCGAGGCCACCCCACCGAACTACTCTAAAACTCAAACTGGAGTTCCATCTTTTGGAGGAGACGATCCAGTTTTGTCTTCCTTATCCAGCTGAGCTTTGACAGCGCCTTCACAGTCCTGTCCAGCTGGGGAGGCTTCTTGTTTTGTATTCATCTCAAAGACTGGAGTGATCACCTTCTTGGCCTGAGGTGCCTCCCTGAGGGGCAGAGTAAAGTCCATTTTGTCTCCACCGGCTGTCTTCCCAGCTGGGGGAGGTGTAAGGGTCTTGGTCTGAGCCTCTGCCTCTCCATGCAGCCAGTCCATCTTCTGAAGGTGTTGCTTGATAGCGTCATCAACTCGAGCGTCGATCATAGCCTCGGTCAAGACGCCATCTTCAGAGGAATATGCTGCTGCCTACAAGAGAACATGAGACACATTCATTTACTTTATGAAAAGTATTGTAGCATTTTGAAGTAAAAGGACTTATATTGAGATTTATACTGCAGTTTTTAAACAAAGATGACTGCTATAGACTGACAATGACTACAGGGCACATACCTGCCAGGCCACACCCAGCTTGGAGATCTCTCTTCCTGACATGCCCTCTGTCCGCTTTGCTATCTCTGAGCACTTTTTACCATAGTCAAACTGGGCCAGCTTCATCCTCCTGCACAAACAGACACACAGACAGATGAGGAAGACAAAATAAATGATTCATCCACTCTTTTGCTAGCCAAGATGCAATTTCTTTCTGACTTTGTTGTGTTTTTGGAGCTCAGTTCATTGCCTGCCTCGCTCCTCACCTTTCAGCCTCCATCACGCATCTGATCTCTCTTTAATCAAAGCCTCAGCATGGCCTTCATCTCAAAAGGGCCTGAATCTAATCCTCATCCTGTTTATTACTCCATCAAATACTATGACTCCTCAAAGCCACTCAGAATTAATACATCTACATGTGAGTGAGTAGACAGTTACCAAACCTAGTTATTTGTTTCAGTATGCAGCCCTAGTGTTCACTAGGTTGGCTTCAATGGCCTATTTACAGCTGTGTTGCTGTGTGGGGATTGTACTCACTGCCTCCCTCCAGTGGCGGGTTCCAGCACATATTTGTCAAAGTACAGCCGCACCAGCCTCTCCCTCTCATCGGGACCCGGCAGAGCAAAATTCACTATTTCATCTATGCGGTCGTTTATGGCCCAGTCAAACTGCTCCGGTTGGTTACTGGCCAACACCAGCATGAACCTGCACACAGAAATCAGTCACCTTAGAGACGTGCTGGGAAGTCGCCAAGTTGGTACAGGCAAGGTAGAATGAAGCGAAGAGTACAACACATTTAAAGGTTTTAGCCCAAATTGTGTACAGAATATAAATACATCTTTACTTGTTGCTCTGTTCTCCGGTGCGATACAAGAATGCATTCAACGTGGCTCTGAGGTCTTCACTGATCTTCTCCTACAAAAAACAAGCGTAAAGGCACATTATGTAGTTAAAGATAAGTCAAGGAGAATTTAAAGGGTACATTTGTGACAAAACATCCAGGGATTCTGGGAAATTCAATACATGCAGACTTACAGTGGATCTCTTGCGAAGGAATGCATCAGCTTCATCAACAAAAAGGAGAAGTCTGTAACAGGATAAAAACGTATGATGTGTTTTTTTGTTTATTACAGCTGGAGTGGACAGAATTGCTGCTTGTATTTTTTTTTTTTTTTAAATGGAACATCAAGTAGCCTACCCGCGTCGACTCGTGTTAGCCCAGTCAAACACTTTGTGCATGGCAGTGACACCGTCGCGGCCCATGGGTGCCACATCACCACCAGTCATAATCGCATAGTCCATCCCAGAATGCATTGCCAGCTTCTACTCAATATAAAATGAAATGTCTCACAGTTAGACAAAGCATTACTTTGCATCTATGTAAATGTTTACACAGGTCGTCATTCAGTCCTCCTCAGGTATACCTTAGCAAACAGAGTTTTGCCTGTGCCTGGGGGGCCGTACATGAGGATATTTCTATACAGGCCATTGTTCTGCCTTGTGTTTCTTGTTGCTATTGCGACATCACGCACACGCTCTTCCAGGGAAGGCTAAGAGATAGAAAAGTGCAACAAGCGGTTACAAACTTTAAAACCACATGTCGGTTAAATCCTTTGTAAAGATTTCAGTGTCCACTTACATTGAGTACGACTCCCTCAAGAGCGTCCTGAGGTTTGCTCTTCAGCCGTTTGGCCGTCTGAATAGTTAAGATGGAGCGACAGAAAATGTATAATTAGCATATTATAATCTGCAGTTAACGAAATGAGCAAAGGATCAATTGCCAATGAGCTACCTTCACTGGATGCTTGATCGCCTCTCCCACAGTGAATCGGGACGTCTCCCGCACCAGTGAAGGCTTCCCAAGCCTGGCCTCGATGTAACGTCCCGCCACCCCTGTTGCGTTTCGGGCTGAATAAACACCTACAGCTAAGAGGGTCAGACCTGCCACCTGTTGATGTGATGGAACGCAGACACAACATTTAAAAACTATTCACTGCAAGAAAAGGGAAAAACAAAAAAAAAACATTTCAGATTTGCCCAGACCGACAGTCCAAATGGTCAAATGGAAATATATGGCTACTTGAGTGTATTGGATGTCACCACTAGCAAATGGAAACACGTGTAGAAGAAGTCACGTGTGGAGACAAACTCTACTTGTTTTAACCATTTCTGCTTTAATTTTTGTTAAGGACTGAATGTGTGAGTATTGTATTCAAAGATGTGTGAAGGTAGCTATCATTTAAAAAAAAAAATGTAACAACGTTTATGAATGCAGAAGCTTCAGTCTGTGTGAATTATTTATATCTGTAAATACATGCATTTGTTGGTTTACACCAACTAATCTTTATTTTACATAAGAAGTTGTATTTCTGAGGACTCATTTGGTTTACCCAGTCTAACTTTCCATCAGTGGCAAATGCAGCTCTTGTTATGTAGTAAAATGACTGTGGATGGAAACAGATGTCTTACCGTTGCTGTGACTTTGTCCCAGTCTGACACAAAGGCCCTGAATCCTTCTCCAAACACAGCACCAGCAGTCCTAAAACCAAATACCAGGTAACTGTCAGCAAGATGCAACTGTTGATTAACCAGTAACATACAAAACTGACCATTCATATGTTGTATACTGGCATGTTGGAGAGTGTTTTTAGATATTGAAGTTTTAAGTTAAGAGTTACATGGTTCAGGAAGACAAATAACCACAAATACACTGCAAAACCACAGTGTGAAATCTTAAATGAGTCTGTGTGTCTTACTTAATGGACTCCAGGACAGTCTGTCTGTGTTCTGCAGCCTTCAGACGGATCTGCTCACGGATAATATCGGCATTCTCCCTCTCTACGCGAGCTCGGGCTTTAGACTCTGCCTCTATACGCAGAAGCTCATTCTTGTGCCTCAGCTCCATCTCATGCTCTATCGTTGCTGTAAAAAAAAAAAAAATTAAACACGACAAAATGCATGAACAACCGCTTCCTCATCTTCACAACCTTCCACAAAGCCCAGTCACTGGCGTTAAAGTGGTGAAGTCTCTACCTTTCCTCATGGCCTCCTGTTTCTGTACAGACTCCTCCTGTCTGCGAAGGTTCTCCTCATTCAGGGCTTGCTGTTGAAAAAATATATTTTTTAAAATAACTTTGGTACTGCGTCTGATTTTAAAGCCTTGTATACTAGATGTAGGAGAAGGCCTCACCTGTTGCCGTAGTTGGTCCTCATATCGCTGTCTGGCCAGCTTATCTTGATACTGAGCTCTCTGTGGGACAGAAATGTGTCTAGTTCAGGGCTGCAATATACTTCGATTTGTCCTTTACTTTAAAAATACTAAAAAGAGAAAGACAAAGTGCTCCCGTTCTCACCGCTTGATGCTGCTTGGTCTCCTCATTCAGAGTTTTCCTCCTCTCCTCTCCCTGGATTCGTATCTGGTCGCCTTTGAGCTGCTCAACTGCTGCTTCGTACTCCTGTTAGAGGGGCGCAGAAAAGACGCCAGAAATCTATCAACCCCAAGAAGCACATATAAATTGCAACTGCAACCACATGACTAGCTGGGTTGTGCCATGAAAGTCCTCAAAAAGCCACATAAGTATAAAGACACGGGACTACATTAGACTTTCACGTAGTAGCATTACACAACTTGACAGATATCAAGTGGAAATAAACACTTTATTTATACGTGACTGCTATTTTTGACAAACTATGTGTGACGGTTATCTTTAACTCCCTAAAGCCCTAATACATAGAGATAATTAGAAAGTTGTGATATATAGCAAATAATGTGCAATATTTACTGTATATACTTTTTCTATTCTCCATTTTCTCCTATGTTTAACTTTCATATTGTAAACCACAGCGACAGTAACCCCTCAAATATATAAATATAGTTAATCATATGATGTTGTTTTAAATTAGCATTAGAGAAATTAACTTAATTCTCTGGAAAAGTGCTGGCGTCCTGCTGCAGATCAAGACAGAATCAGTAGTCTAGTGTGTGTTTCAGCCATACTTTCACTTTAGTCTGATGCTCCAACTGAGTGGTCTGCTCCTGCATCCGGGCCAAGTCCAGAGCTTCTTTGGCATGTCCTAGGGTGGAGGAGAGAGGCAACAACACAGAGCTGAAAGGTGTGATGGCTTCAAACATGGAGATCTTCAGTTAACAATGGTGGTCTGACTGACTCCTGACAGTCCATGTCACATCTCTTCCACTTTATACCTCCACTCACTTAAAGTGAAATCATGAACACAAAACAAGGTGGAAGCAATTGGTGAACCATTGCATGCATGGTTGGAACATGTGGAATTTGGGTGTTGCAACCCAAATTGCAAGGTGATGACCTTTGAACCCAGTCCACTAGTTTGAATGAAGGTGAGAGCAGCACAGCGTTGTTCTCATAAGAAACCAACAAGTTCACAAAGATGACATTAACATATGTGTAAAGATGCTGGCTGTGAGTGTGGGCCTCTTTACTGAAGCTGCTGCACCACTGACCACCACCATGAACCAGAAAGGAGCTGGGGTCTCTCGGGGTGCAGTAATGTTGTTACAATGTAGAGAAACCTCCACTCCGGTGACAGCCACCGAGCTAACAGGCCCTCCCGATAACTTACGGGACTTGTCGAGGTCCTTGGCCGCCTGGGCAGCCCGCTCCAGCCCGGTGGGATCGAAGTTGCTCCATTTGTCCTTGGGTTTATCTCCGCCGCCGCTGGAGCCTCCGGCCGGCGGGGGTGGCGGTGGAGGCTGAACCGGCAGACCGGGAGGCACTTCAGGCTGCCCCTTGTTCAGGCCGAACAGCCACGACATTTTTTAAATGAGAATAAATAACAGCGTTTAGCCGATTCTGTGAGGAGCAGCTTCAGACCTGTCACTGCACTTCCTCCACACGCGTGTCACCCACCAACCTCCTGCGCAAGTGCAGCAGAGAGCGCAGAGCTGTCTGAACACCAAGAACGACGATTGGCTGGGAACAAGTACTTCTTCTTCTCATTGGCTGTGACAACAGTTGTCTTCAGTAGAGGTCATTTATGTAGTCCCACCCAAAATCATTACGGTAGCCGCAGAGGGTCATAGTAGATATAATTCACATGACAGGGTTCATCAGGTTGTTTCTGGTTTTAAGTCATGGGTCACTCACATTGCTGTGATGTGTCCTTTGCATCTCAGTTTCTAGCATGGAGCACTCACTGGTTTAATCTCCGCAGGATCGTCAGAAATAAATGTTGGACTGGGGGGAAGGTTTCAAACCCGGGTGTTTCTCAAGTACCACTGGTTGATTAAATTAGGATTTTGCCCTCATGTTCTCTAGTATTCTGTTACTGTGCAGTGTGTACTATCATGGATACAAAAAAAGAAATCTGTCGTGACCCAGCAGCCAACATGAAAGCTACAAATGACTAGTTTAGAGTAAAATACCTCTCAAAAAGCACATCTTTAAAATTGCAATGTTTTACAATAAAGAAAAACAAGACAGGAACACAAAATATATATCAAAATGTTTAATGAACTAAACATTTAGAGGATAACCTTACAACAACAAATGGTCAAATATATATTTACAGACACAATTATTACATACAAATCCTCTCTTCTTCCCAGCCTCCAAATAAAAGTCACAATCCAACAGCATCAAAATCATAACTTAAAAGCGGCATTCACACAGAGGAAGGTCTGCGGAAAACCACAAATCACATCCTCCATTACGATACTGGAGGTAATCAGGAGGGCTTCAGTGGAGTATTTTGTAAGTAACGCTGTCTCGCAGTCTCTGGTACACATGATGCAGATGTTGGATCGAAGGCAGTGAATGGGGCAGAAGCAGGTCTGTCTGTGGACTAACATACGGTACGCTGTTTAATGTCAGCTGCCATCCTGGATTGTGATTATATCCTTGTGATGAGTGCAAAAATATTCTTTACCTGAAATAATACCTTACAGCAGTATTTAAGAGTTGCCTATAGCCTTAAAAGTAGGACAGGTCATATAGATTTGTCAAATCTCTTTTCATATTCATAGATGCTCTGCTTTTGGACAACAAAATGGTGCAGGGTGCAGGATAGCATAATAAGTAGAGAAATGGTCCTTCAAGGTCAGGGATCAGTGCCTGTCCTGCTGGAGTGTCCTTGAGCAAAAGGTTACATCATTTTCTACTTCAGGGACATTGCACTCTAACCCATGTGAGACTCCATTATATACCCATGTCCATTTGTTTGTACTTTGTAGGTTTGTAGGCACGGGTCCAGTTAACTCCTCAACAGTGACCAGACTCTGGTGTCAATTTGGATCCTTTATGTGGGTCGTTAAGCATGAGGCAACCCTGGTGTAGTGAACAATAAAGCATCACAAAATTATTGAACGAAATTAATCTTATGTGACTATATGAACAATACTTTAGATGAAGTGATAACTGTAAAGCACAGAGGCGAGTTTCATTCTCCACAATCCAAGACCACCGTTCTTTAAACCACATAACTGGAAATGTGTGACCGGATCAAGTCCTTTACTGTAGCAGAACAACACGGGAGAAGACTCCAGGAGGCTCTTTGCCGTCACCCAATGCTGCCCGGAAGCCCTCCTGTTGCCGAGCCTGTGCCAGCTTTGCAAGTGAGAGGAATGACCGAGGCTCTGTGACGGCCAGGTCGCAGATAACACGTCGGTTGAGCTGAACGCTGCTCTGTAGGGAGGAAGAGAGGAAACACGTTACATACGGGTCGAGTGAGCCGCAGGCATAAAGAGCGAAGGGAGGACTGGTACAGTGCTGCAACATTCAACTCCACTAACCTTGGTGAGGTTGTGCATAAGGGCGGGATACTTCATGCCGTGCTCCCGTGAGGCTGCTGCAATGCGTGTGATCCAGAGCTGAAGAAATAACAGCACAATAAGTGATATTGATTACCTCGCTCAAGTGCAATACTGTAAACTATTAATATCCCCTTCTGCAACTGGGATTGGAAAGCTACATTTCAGTAAGTGGCAAGGCAGACTGGAGCAGTGGTTCCTAACAACTGGTTTTTATATACAGTCTATGTTCCCAACCTTTTTGACATGTGACCACCCTAAAATGAATACATTTCATCATTCAATTTGAAGCATGTTTACAGCTCAGATGAGGCGAAAATATCCAGTATTTCACAAGAAAAAAATACAAAAACGTCAGAAAATTAAATCTATTATGCAGGAAATTGTGTTTCTTTCAGTGTTCCTTTAGTCATCTTGTGACCTTAACAGTGGGACACTTGATCAACATACTGTTACTACTCTCGATATGTTTTAGTTGTATTAGTGTATGTTTTACTCCTTGCACAGAGTATCCTGCTGAAATAATGCACACTGAATCGGTTTGTTAAAATAAAACGCCACAGTGAGGCATACTTGTCTCTGTACTGAGAAAGGTAGTCTGGGTTACACCAGGCTTGAATCCATTTTTCGGTTATTGGAAATCAAATGTAGCATGTGCCTTGTGTGGTTTGTTGTCGTAGAGGAGAGGTGCATTTCTGTCTTACCGTCCTCATGTTGCGCTGCTTGAGCCTCCGAGATTTAGTGGCGTAGACGAAAGCTCTCCTTACCGCCCGCACAGCCAGACTGTAGCACCGGTTCTTTCTGCCTCTGAAGTGCTGTTGGTGGGGGCGACAGGAAGAATGACTTCAAGAAAATCACCATCATTATGCTGTTAATATTACATCAGGATAATGAGGGGGTCTTCCTAACTGAATCAAGCGGTATGGGTCATCTCTAAACAGCAGGGGAAACGGGCGCATGACTCACTGATTTCAGCTTTAACTAACGTTACCACACAGACTTCAACATTTAGCCCCCTTTCCTCCACGAAGTAGTCGTGGCCTTAACTTACCCGGGCATGTTTGAGAACTTCTTGAACTTTCCAGTATCTGTCGGGTCCACGGTTTCGGATCCAACAGGACAGCGTCAGGAACACCATGTCTATTCTTTCAGTAAACTGGATTAAGTGACCTTAGCCTTGCTCGACCTGGAAAGAGACGTGAGTTCAATTCCACACGCCGCACCACGATTGGCAGTGGCGAGCTGGGTTCGTTCGATTTAAAAACCCGGACATCTGGTGCCCGTGTGTCCTGCGCTCCGCCCGGGGTACTCTGACCAAGACCGCGTCAGGATTGAAATAAACTAATTATTTCATTGCCATTGAGGCAAACACACAACGAAAGGCAGGCGGGAAAATGTCACAATCAAGTCAAACAAACCATAAATGTATTCACGCTCTTACTGAGTTTGTGGTCCTAAAGCCGCGATATTTCGGGCAACCAAACAAGCGCTCCCACCACACCAGCGCTGTGACGCGGCCCCGGTGGATGCTGGGACAGCAGACGGTGGAGGTCAGAGAGACTCCAAAATGTCGGTAGCTGCTCTCACGTCCTTGAGCCGCTGTGGTGTTGTGGCGTTTCGCTCCCCCGCCGGACTGGTGGTACGTTGGTGTGAACCGTTACAGTCAGCCGATAATGTCAGTTACAGGTTCTGTTGAGTCACAACATGGAGCTCATGACCGTTTGACAGCGGAGGGCTCCGGCTACGGTCGGGAGTTCAGGTTACGGAGTCCAGCTACTACTAGTTAGCCCTAGTTAGCAAACAACAAATGCTCTAACGTTACTCAAATTCTACTCTGTGTCGGGATTTTTAAGATTGAGACCACTGGAATGAATATTGGGATCACAGACCAGTCAGCAAGACACTTGATCAAAAAGTGAAAGAATGATTTAAAGAATTGTTAACCATACAGACATCATTGTATTAGCCAAAGTATCTAGTGGTGTGTAATTAAAGCATTAGAGTGCCAAAATATGTAGTTGTTTTTTTTCTCTCCTTATCCCTGCTGTCAGGCGGTGCGGTATGCCCAAACGGCAGCAGCTCCAGCAAAACAACCCAGAATAAAGAAGTTCCAGGTGTACAGATGGGACCCAGACACTCCAGGAGACAAACCCCGCATGCAGACCTACGAGATCGACCTCAACACGTAGGTGTTACAAGCTTTTCCCTCGGTGTTTAGGAAGACCAATATGTGCTGCTGTCACTCTGTGTTGTCATGTGTGTCCAGATTTACGTAAGTGATGGGTGAGCCGAAACACTTCGGTGTATATTATTGCATTTATTTTATGGACCCTTATTAAACAAAAGGAGGGTTGAATTAATTTACTCCTGGCATCCAGTCAGGAACGCTGATGATCTGTGGCCGTTGTGTACAGATGTTTAACTTTTATTAGAAAGAGGTGCAGTGAGAGGACTTTGTCAGGTTAAGCATTAACATTCAGGTCAAATCTCTGCTTATCTTGTATAATCTAGACCAAAGAAGGTGGCCCTTTTTAATAGCACTGCTGTTAGTTGATCATGTTCACTTGCTGCTGGCTTTAGTCAAGTTCTTAGCAGTAGCTAAGCACATGTAAACAGAGGGCAGTATTAACGAATTGAGAACAGCCGTCAGGTAGATTTAACACAGGTCGTGGACATCTGTTCCTCTAATCGGCTTGGGGACAATCAGCTCACTTCTGTCAATATGACACTTCTGTCAACATGGGCTGTGGCTCAGGAGGTCGAGTCTGTGAGCAGTTGGCATCTTGCATGGTCGCTACTGCCGTGGGTGGGTGGGTGTGGGGAAATTGTGATCGTGTAAAACACTTTGAGTGGTCAGAAGACTAGAAAGGCATTATACAAGTACATTTACCATGACACTTACTCAAAAATGATCTTTCGCCCTTAAACCTCACATCTTGACTCTCTGGACTCACCAACTGCCTTTGTCTTTCTTCATATAGTTGTGGCCCAATGATTCTTGACGCCCTGATCAAGATCAAAAATGAGATGGACTCCACTCTGACCTTCCGACGCTCCTGCAGAGAAGGTCGGTGACATGAACAGAATAATGATCGACTTTGTGTTTGTGTATATAGATTTAAAACCAGTTTACAAATGCATAGAGGATAACATGATCATTACATGTGGCAAATAATACCCAGAAAAAGTTTCAAATAACTTGGTTGTGATGGTGCAGCCTACATTTTGTAAGGGTCATGTAGTTGGTTTGTTCTTGAGAAGTTAAAGAAAACTCCAGACTTGTTTATTTAGGAGAGTAGTTAAGATAAGTTTGCTGTGTAGATTTCAGAGACTCGGACTCGAGTTCGAGACTCGGACTCGAGTTCGAGACTCGGACTCGAGTGCGACTTAAGTCGCACACACAGTGACTTCAGACTCGACTTGAGACTCGTCCTCAAAAGACTTGAGACTCGACTCGGACTCGAGGTGCGGGACTCGTGAACAATATTTATTTTTAGGAAACTTCTGATGAGCTTGACGTTATTCCCTCCCTCCGTTACCTATAACCTGCATACGTAACACGTAGCATCTGCTGCGCGCGGCTGCACATGAGAGAGGACAACAAACACCGCAGCTGCTCCGCCATTCATCATAAACTTTGGCTTTAAAACTTCATAAAACGAGACCCAAACAAAGACGCACTGAACACAAATAGGTTAGTAACCTGTGGTGAGTAAACACTACCAGCTCAGCATTGGCCGTCTAACGTTAGCCTGCTTCTTGCTTCAGCTACGACCTACGAGAGGTTTACTCCGACTGTCCTTCGTTATGAAAAGATGAACGAGCGTTTGTTTACTTGCCAAACTTGTGGTAGTTGATTAATGTATCATTACGTCCCGCTGGCTGCCATCACGTTAATTATTACCGTTGGCTAGAAAGAGGTTACAGGTTTATTGTTGATCATGTAACCTTACAGTTTTATTTAGTTATAACTTACACTGGGTTTAAGAGTCTGGGGAGTGTGTTGACTTACAGTATTTAATAAGCTGTCAATAATTGCAGGCGCATTGTACATTAGTCTGCATGGTTGTGCTCTGTAAGTTAAAAACAGGTTACAGGTTTATTGTTGATTATGTAACGTCACAGTTTTATGTAGTTATAACTTACTGGTTTGAGAGTCTGGTGGATTGTTTACTTACAGTAGTTTATAAGCTGTCATTAACTGCATTGCAAAGGTTGTGCTCTGTAAGTTAAAAACAGGTTACAGCTTTATTGTTGATTATGCAACGTCACAGTTTTATTTAGTTAACATTACACTGGATTTAAGAGTCTGGGGAGTGTGTTGACTTACAGTATTTAATAAACTGTCAATAATTGCATTGCACATTACATGGTTGTGTTCTGTAAATGAAAAACAGGTTACAGTTACAGTATTCCTTATAGCTATGCAATTTTATTAGCAACCTGGATTGAATGCAGCAGGTGATACAACATTCATTATAACCACGAGAGACTTGAGACTTGACTTGGACTCTAGCTCAAAGACTTGTGAGCATCTCTGGTAGATTTATTTTCTTTTTAAGTGATTATTTGCCGACTACATGTCATTCAACCATGAAAGATGCTGCACAATTTCCCCCTTTTTTCTAAAGGAAGTCTTGTCACCTAAATTACTCATCTGACTTAGTTTTCCAAACAAAAAAAAATCGGTTATTACACCACAATAATAAATGACTCATTTTCAGTATTGTGGCAGAAAAAGTGTGTTTGTCTTCAGATTGTTTTGTGTCAGAAATGGTATTAAAAGCCTTTTTATTGATTTTGTTTAAATGCAGGTATTTGTGGATCCTGTGCAATGAACATTAATGGAGGAAACACACTTGCCTGTCTCAACAAGATTGACACCAATGTTAGCAAGCCAACTAAGATTTACCCTCTCCCACATATGTATGTGGTCAAGGACCTGGTACCTGTGAGTAAATATCCACCACACCCTGAATAACTCCAACTGATAACAGATGTTACTCCACTAGTCCCATCAGTTTCCATTTGTGTATCAAACACGGATGCCCAAATATGTTTGAATCTGAGTTAAGTTTTGTTATGATTTTGCATAATACATTACTCTAAAACTTTAGGCACCCGTGACAATTTCCATGATTTTCATTTATAAATAATTGGGTGTTTGGATCAGCAATTTAGTTTTGAGCATTCAAATAACTTAAAGACACAGTAATATTTCAGTAGTGAAATGAGGTTTATTAGATGAACAGAAAATGTGCAATATGCATCAAAATGAAATTAGACAGGAGCATAAATTTGGGCACCCTTGTCATTTTGTTGATTTGAATACCTGTAACTATATAGCGCTGATTAATTGGAACAACAATTGGTTTGGTGAGCTCATTAAGTCTTGAACTTCATAGACGGGTGCATCCAATCATGACAAAAGGTTTTTAAGGCAGCCAATTGCAAGTTGTTGTTCTCTTTGACTCTCCTCTGAAGATTGGCAACATGGGGGCCTCAAAACAACTCTCAAATGACCTGAAAACAAAGATTGTTCAACATTATGGTTTAGGGGAAGACTACAAAAAGCTATCGCAGAGATTTAAGCTGTCATTGTCCACTGTGAGGAACATAGTGAGGAAATGGAAGACCACAGGCACAGTTCTTGTCAAAGGCCAGAATTGCAGGCCAAGTAAAATATCGGAGAGGCCAAGGCGACCACCTCCCACATACTTACATCATCTTGCTGCAGATGGTGTCACTGTGCATCGTTCAACAATTCAGCGCACTTTGCAGAAGGAGAAGCTGTATGGGAGAGTAATGCGGAAGAAGCCTTTTCTGCACGCACGCCACAAACAGAGTCGCTTGAGGTATACAAACGCACATTTGACAAGCCAGCTTCATTTTGGAAGAAGGGGCTGTGAACAAAGATGGAGTTATTTGATCATAACAAGGGGCGTTATGCAAGAAGACAGCGTTCCAAGACAAACACTTGCTACCCACAGTAACATTTGGTGGAGGTTCCATCATGCTGTGGGGCTGTGTGGCCAGTGCCGGTACTGGGAGTCTTGTTCAAGTTGAGGGTCGCATGGATTACACTCAATATCAGTAGATACTTTAGAATAATGTAGAGGAATCAGTCACAAAGTTGAAATTACGCTGGGGCTGGATTTCAACAAGACAACCACCCAAAACACTGTTCAAAATCTACTGTGGTGTTTATGCAGAGGACCAAGTACAATGCTCTGGAATGGCCATCCTAGTCCCCAGACCTGAATATCAATATATATATATATAGAAAATCTGTGGGGTGATTTGAAGCGGGCTGTCCATGCTTGGCAACCATCAAACCTAACTAAACTGGAGATGTTTTGCAAGGAGGAATGGTCCAAAATGGCTTCATCCAGAATCCAGACACTCATTACAGGCTATAGGAAGCGTCTAGAGGCCATTATTTCTGCTAAAGGAGGCTCAACGAAATATTGATGTGATATTTCTGTTGGGCCCAAATTTATGCTCCTGTCTAATTTCGTTTTGATGCATATTGCACATTTTCTGTTCATTCAATAAACCTCATTTCACTACTGAAATATTACTGTGTCTTTAAGTTATTTGATAGCTCAAAACTAAATTGCTGATCCAAACACCCAATTATTTATAAATGAAAATCATGGAAATTGTCACGGGTGCCTAAACTTTTGCATACGACTGTATGTGCACGGTACATTTGATATATATGTAGTAGTGTTCATGTGGCTGCTACAAATCATCATTTCAGCCTCTTTTGGTAGGTAAAATGCCACAATCAGTATAACATAAATATGACGAATAACCAAGTTATCAAATGCACAGATGAAGATTTAGGAGTTTTGGCACCAAAATCATTTATTGCCTTTCTGAAGCGTTTTAAAAAGGGTACTTTGTAAAGGATTTTTTAAAATAAAGCTTTATTCTGACATTTGTATATCTGACTGGATCCTTGAAACACTTGTTTGCAGGACATGAGTAACTTCTACGCCCAGTACAAGTCTATTGAACCCTACCTGAAGAAGAAGGATGAGTCAAATGAAGGGAAGGAGCAGTACCTGCAGTCTGTGGAGGACAGACAGAAACTGGTACACTGCTTTGTAAAACATTGACAAGTTTCCCAGGGCTCAAAGTCACATGAAAATATATATGCTTTCCTGCTCTTGTGCTTTGCAGGACGGGCTGTATGAATGCATCCTGTGCGCCTGCTGCAGTACGAGCTGCCCCAGCTACTGGTGGAACGGAGACAAATACCTCGGGCCTGCGGTGCTGATGCAGGTGTGTGTCTCAGCACATAAACATTTAGGCATCATTAATTAAATCCTGAATCTGCCTTAAAAACTCACCACATACGAAGAGTTCATGGGTTACATCCTGTTGCCTCTCAGGCGTATCGTTGGATGATTGACTCGAGAGACGAGTTCACAGAGGAGCGTCTGTCCAAGCTGCAGGATCCCTTCTCCCTCTACCGCTGCCACACCATCATGAACTGCACCAGAGCCTGCCCCAAGGTAATCCTCAGACACATGCACCACACAGCTCATGCCATATTTGGTGTGACCCTTTGCCTTCAAGACAGCATCAGTTCTTCTAGGGTCACTTGGTTCATATTGTTTTTGAAGGAACTCGGCAGGTAGGTTGAAGAACTACCCACAGTTCTTCTGTGGATATTGGCAGCTTCAGCTGCTTCCTTCCTTCATGTAATCCCAGACAGACTCGATGATGTTGAGATCAGGGCTCTGTGGGGCCAAACCATCACTTCCAGGACTTCTTGTTCTTTGTTATGCTGAAGATAGTTCTTAATGACTTTCGCTGTATGTTTAGGGTCGTTGTCATGCTGCAGAATAAATTTGGGTCCAGTCAGATACCTCCCTGATGGAACTGCATAATGGATCTGCTTATACTGCTCATCATTGAAGAGACCTCCACCATGCTTCACTGTCACCTGCAGACACAGACACTTCTTGTACTGCTCTCTAGACCTTCATTCAACAAACTGCCTTCTGCTGCAGTCAAATATTTCAAATTTAGACTCATCAGTCCAGAGCATCTGCTGCTGTGTTTCTGCTCCCCAGTTCCTGTTTTTCCGTGCATAGTTGAGTTGGTTGGCCTTCTTTCCATGTCAGAGGCTGTTTGGCTTCAAGTCTTCCACTAAAGCCACTTCTGACACATCAGACTCCTCCAGACAGTAGATGGGTGTACCAGGGTCTAGGGCTGAACGATTAATTGCATTTTGCGATATTATCGCAATGTAATAAAACGAGATTTTCTAATCGCAAAGGCTGCGATTACACTGTGGTTACATGACACCCAAGAGGAAAGCAGTCTGCAGACGAAGTCACTGTACCTTGCCTTCTTGTTGTACAATGCGCTTAAGCTTGACAGAAGCTGACACTACATAAATTTTAGTGTCACACAGGGAATGAAAGTAGCACCCGCCACCCGTGGGTAACTTGGTGGTGGTGGTGAGTGAAATCATCAGCGTACATCATCATACGCGGCTTTGACGGACAGGAAAAATGCACAACAGAAAGACACGTGTAGTAAGGTAAGCGCATTGTGGCGACAGGCGCCTGCATCACACACACAACCACCAGTCAGCTCAGAAAATATCTTTGAAACAGCGTTTCAGACCAAACTCACAAGTCCGAAAGAGGCCCAGTCTGTCCCGAGTTACAGCCAGTGTGCTGCTTACCAGCATCAGAGGCTGCGGGGGAGGGGAACTCCGGTGTTGTTGGAGAATTACTAAGCTTGTCTGTTAAAAACAAGAGGCGTCACTTGGTTTTATTTTCGTAGGCCAACTTTTGAATTGAACCTCAAACTGAGTATTTTTTGTTTCCTTACTGGGATACAGAAAGATGGACTCCTAGGAGATTTGTACTGAGATAAAGATGCATTAATTGCTAGGCCGACATGATGATGATATATCATATTATTTAATGCCATGACTTGATTCAAATTATCTTTCTCATATTATTATATATTATTGATATATCTTCTCCACCATTGCACATAATAATAATTTAACCTAATTCATCATAACACAAGCTTGACCCACAAGAAAGAACAGTGTAGTTCTGTCTATCTAATATATGTTGGTCAGACTATACACTGATTTACTGCTACAGAAGGTAAAGCGCTTAAAAATTAATCGCATATTAAGTCGCAATCGCAATATTGGTAAAAAAATTGCAATTAGTTTTCCAATATTTTCCAAAATCGTTCAGCCCTACCAGGGTCCCTTGGTTTTTTGCATCTCTGAGCTGATGGCACTGCTGGACATCTTCTGTGTGTGTGAAGGGAAGTAAGCATGATGTGTCTTTTATCTGCTGCAGTAAGTTTCTTTGGCCGGTCCTCAACGTTGTCGGTTTCTTTGTGCTTCTTCAAAAGAGCTTGGACAGCACATCTGGAAATACCTGTCTACTTTGATGTCTACCTGGGAGAGACCTTGCTGATGCAGTAACCTTGTGTTGCTGTGTTCAGTCTTGCCATGGTATTTGACTTTTGACAGTAAACTGTCTTCAACCTCACCTTGTAAGCCGAGTTTGGCTGTTCCTCACCCAGTTGTATTCCTCCTACACAGCTGGTTCTGTTTCAGTAAATGATTGTGGTTCAACCTACATATTGAATTTATGATCATTATCACCTGTTTGGTGTAATTGTTTAATCATACATCTGACAATATGCCTACAAAATCCCTGAATTTCTGCAAGTGTACCTAGAAGAATCATTGCTGTTCTGAAGGCAAAGGGTGGTCACAACAAAATTTGTCGAGCTGGGCTAAGGTCACTTAAACTTTACTTTACAGCATTTCTTTTTCCACACGTGCCTAAAACCTTTGCACAGTACTGTATACCGTGTGCTCTTCATATAAACAGACAACATGCACTGTTGCAGGAGGGCATCTTTCTCTCTGTTCTTTAAATATTTCAGATGAACTCAAACTGCTCTTTCCTCTTCTGCCTCGTCTTCCTCTTAGGGTCTGAACCCAGGAAAAGCGATAGCTGAGATCAAGAAGATGATGGCTACATATAAGGAGAAGAAAGCAGCTGCTGTCTGAAACCTCCGTTGTCATCTTCTATAACTTTTCCCTCCATGATTAAATGATATATTGATTAGAAAATATTTTTTGAATATTTTTTTGAAGTCTGAAGGGCCAGGACACCTGTCAGCTCCACCACCACACTCCGCAGACTGTATAATCAACTGTAATAGAGATGGAGAGTGTGTATGTGTGTGTGGTTGGAGGACTTGGTGTTTCACAAACGCACATGTACAGTATGAATGCAGGAGAGAAGCGTGTGTGTTGTCTGAGTCTTACATGTACCATAACCAGAGTATTTATCTCCAACTCTACCATGTGTATATTTGTGCACTGGACGCTGCGTATTAAAGTAAAAACAAGGTGTGTTGTTGCGTGTAAACCTTTTTTTTTTTTTTTAGCTTGATGCTTTTTTTTTCAGGTTAGCGTCTGGTTCACAGACATACAGTGTATACTTTCTTCTTTCAACATAACCAACTGCAGGCTTTGTTTTGAAGGAAAATAAACAGTTGAAATGCCTCCAGCTTGTTTTCATTGGTTATTTGCTGTCACCAATGTTGCTTTGATCAAATGCCTTCTCCTCTAATACACATCCACAGTGGTTAGCAGTGTGTCCTCTAGATGTCGCTATTACCAGCTCTACCCCCATTATCATATCCTTCAAATACTGTGACACTGCCATACTCTCACTTCTCAATGGCAATAACTTACAGCCTATCACAACTCAGATCCCTCACTTCACCCAGTGCTGCACTGGTAAATACCTGCAGCTGAACATGGACAAAACAAAACACCTGGTCATTATTAGCACCTCGAATGGATTGAACCCCAGCTCCATCCAAGATAGAGCATTCAGTTTTGGTCATCACATCATTTAGGTTCCCCCTACTCCTTCACCACTTTAACCATCTCCATTAAAAACAAAGTACCAGCATCACACATACTGCCTCTGAAATCATCTGCCTTCCCTCACCCCATCTCTCAGACATCTACCACAGAGCCATCACACACCTAGCACTCATAAAAGCCCCTCAATCACACCTCACATTACTGCCATCTGGTTGTAGCTAAGTGACTTTGAAATCGCTTCAGCAGGGGTTTCATCCCTTGTGCCACAGCTGCCCTGAATAAACTGCCTCTGTGACATGTTTGTGAGCTGGGAAGATTGTATCCATGAAGATTTTATGTATTGTTTATATCTGTATGTTTATGTGTTGTAGGCCTACTGCTGTGAAAACAATTAAAATCTAAATTACTGTGCAGAGCTGCAAATGAGGTGAACCGGGGTTACTGGAAGACAGTCCAGATTTAAGTGTTGATGTCTCTGTAAGAGACACATTGTTTAATCATGTTTCATTAGAATATTTTAAAGTGTTCATGTGAAAGGTATTACATCTACAGCAGAGGCTGGCATACATCTAGTCTGCATGGGAGAGGACACAATACAATAAAAGGCAAAAGTTCTTCATCAAACAGTGAAGAACAAATTCAGTAGTGTGGCAGGTGGTTGACTTCTATCCCCACACACAAACAATCTGCAGTTAGCCTATAGGTAAACAGCAGAAGATATGTTTGAAAAGTCATCAGTGACATTTATATGACCACATTTGTCCTGTATAAATCTATAAATGTTATCTACCAATATTTGGCCAGCTCATGGATACTTTATCTTGTAGCATCACAAGATCTGACAGCTTCGGGATGGCCCTTGTTGCGGGTCGGTGCTGGGGCCGGGGGCTGGAGGGCTGGGACTGGACTGGGAGGAGACTACAGATGCGGGGTGGTACAATGTGGCGCTGCGAGGTCCTCCTGCACTCAGAGGACGCATGAGAGCTGAGGACGGTCGGAGCAAACTGAATCTGTTAGGTGAGAAACCCTTTAAAAAATCTTATGCTTGCATTTTTACTTGAGTTGCACATACTTTTAAAATTTTTATTTCATGCACGTGTGGGCTCAGCCTATTTAACTTGCATTTGTGCTGAAAACTATGGAGGAGAAAAACCAGGAGGCAGGAGGTGATTGTCCACAGACAACCAGCAGTATAGTCCAATGCTTCAAGGGCATTAAAGCATCCCGAGCGCTCATCAGTCTGCCTAATATAGAGCGAATACTTGTGGATAATTTGCGTGTATGTTAAAGGCTGTGGAGAGCTGACATGTGGTCCCGTGTTTTTACTGGAGAGAAGAAGGAGGAGGGACTTCGCAGCACAGCCTGCAGCAAGGGCTCCTACAATGGAGAGACGGTGCCAAGAGGGAAAAGGAGAAGAAAAAAAAAAAAATTGAAAAAAATACCTTGCTCGCTGAGGATGGAGGTCGATGAGGGCGCATGGATTTTTATTTTTTATAATTTATTTCTTTGTCATAGTTGTATAAAAAGCTGTACATAGATGACAGTAGTGTATCTCTTGTTGCTGTCCTCAGAAACTCTTTCTGATGACTGTGTGTATGTGTGTGTGTGTGTGTGTGTGTGTGTGTGTGTGTGTGTGTGTGTGTGTGGGTGGGGGGGACGGGGTCTCTAGCTGGGAAAGGAAGGACTCAATTGGGGAGAGGGGGGCTAATCGCTCCCAGATGTGTGCTGTGAAAACATATGGTTTCCTATCGCCACTGTGATGCACAAGAAGAATGTGTGTGTGTGTGTGTGTTTGCGCGTGTGATGCTAGTAAACAAACAAACACACACATAACAGATACACAGGCAGAACTTGTGCAAACAGTGTTTCAATCACGTTTTTTGTCCAGTGTGGCCTCACAAAACTCTGCCTTTATCCAGAGAGAGAGAGAGTAGGATGTGTAAAAAGCCCAAATTAACTGCTTCATGTTGTGTGTGTGAAATAAATGGCCTACAGTGCTGCAGCGGAGGAGGAGCATTCATACTTTCCACATAGTGGAAAAGTAGTTTAGTCTGTTAGGAAGCTATGGTAATGGATTTTACTGTATGTAACCCACTGTGTCTTCCTGTGACAACTTAACAAAAAGCAATATTCTGGTATACTTGTCAGTGATGCCATTTTCACTCACCCTAAGAGGTTTTTTTGCTTGGTGGAGTGAAGAAGAAAGAAAAGGGGGAGGAGGTGGTGGGGTTCGAGGAAATGACCAGTGAGGGCGACAGAAGGGAAATGAAGGATGTGGAGACAGACGGAGAGAGGGAGGGATGAAGAAAACTCAGAGAGAGGGGTGGGGTTGAGGGGTCCTCTGTTTCTTTTCCTGGAATGCAGCCTCGAGACTGTCTGCTGCTGCAGCAAGGAAAAGTGGGGAAAAAAGAGAGATTGTTCATAGGAAGACAGACGTGCCACATTCTTGCTGTCAGAGTTTTCTCCCCTTCTTTTTCTTGCCATTGCTTTTTGGGGCCAGTGGGGGGGGGGGGGCAGAGAGAGAGGGTGGAGCAGCCAGGGGGTTGGAAAGGTGACAGAGGGCAGGGGGAAAGAGAGGAGAAGATAGTTCAGGAGACCAAAGGAATATCCAGCTCTGAGCACTTTGTTCCCCTCATGTAGCTCTGTTTTGATTGTTAATACTCTTCTCATCTCCCCTCCAGTGTTCAAGTCAGTCTACCTCCCAGAGTGACCATGAGAGTCCTCCTACTAATCTGCATGCCAGGTAACTGCTCCATATTCCTCTATGACCTGACAACATTAAATATTCACAACAAGTGGTGAGGGTTGCGAATTGCAACCAATGGCTCACTCACCGATCACCCCTCCATTTGCAAGCCCTTTGGAGAAAGTACGGTGGCCGACACGCTCTGTTGCCTCTTGTGCTAAATAATACGTGTCGTCCTCCATTTGTCCAAATTTCACATATTTTCTTACTTCTATCTACTTCTACCAGACGACTACTACTACTACGTCTTCTTCTTCTTCCCCTTCTTTTCTTTGTACGTATTCAACATAGTGACGAAACGCGCTCTGTAGAGCAGTTTGTCCATTTGGGCTACTGTAGAAATATGGTGGCGCAACATGGCAACATCCACATAAGAGGACCCGCGGTGTATGTAGATAGAAATGGCTCATTCTAAAGGTAATAAAAACACAACTGTTGATTATGGAAGGTCTTTATACATCACTGAAAACATAGCTATGTATATTAGTCATGTATATTATATTGCATTTTGTCAATAGATCCTGCTAAATATTACACACTAAACCTTTAAAGTGCCAACACCCAAATTTAAAGGAAATTGTTGTAAATAGTTTTATTTGCTTTCTTACTGAGAGTTACAAGAGAAGAATGACACCACTCACGTTATAATGATAAATAAGAAGCTACAGCCAGCAGCCAGTTAGCTTAGCTTAGCATAAAGACCGAAAACAGTAAGAAACAGCTAGCCTGGCTGTCTGAATGTAACAAAATCCACCTCTTAGCACACTAAATTAACACTTTATATGTTAATACGTACAAAAACCAAACATTATGGCTTTACAGGGGGTTATGTGCCAGACTATTTTGTGGTTGGGTGGAGTAACTTCCTCAAGTCTGGTTGTCATAGTGAAGTTGCAAAGGAACCACCAGGACCTGAAGTTTGTGTTATGTTGCAAAACTAGATAATGCTTTATAACTGTCCGTTCACTGAATTTTCCCTACTACTACTGTTACACCATCTTTTAACATTTACATTTTCCAAAATGTTACTGGTTGCCATAGTGTTCGTTGTTCAGCAAAAGTTACAACAGTCTCCCTTTAACAACTGTTGGCTAAATTATTGACTTGTAACATTGTATTTCTCTTGAAAATGTCTATGAAGAGTACATTTTTGATAACATTCTTCAAAAAGATGATGCTAATCAATAATTTTGTACACTTAGTGTCCATGCTAATCGATGAACCGTATGTAAAGAAACATCCTCCAGATGAAGGCAATACAGACAGGCGTTGAATAAAGCATTGTGTACCTGCTGATGTTGTCAGAAGTTTTAATATTGATGGTTTTGAATTAAAGTGACTTCATGTAACTTTTGCTAACAGTGGTGGCAGTTAGGAATAAAGGTAAATGATAAAAGGTAGTGTAACAATAGCACATAATGTCTGACTCTGTAATGTCAGTTACACAATATCTAGATTACGTAAGCTAACATAAGATAACAATTAGCCACCATAACTGATCATACCAGAACAGGTAAGGCAGTTACAGCAAAATCTCTGAGTGTATTGAATTGAGTAAGGGTGCATTTTATTTCTTATGAATTCAACATTTCATTTGTGAGAGGAAAAATTTTTGTTCTTTGTTCATCACATAGTCTCACTGTTTGTGCTTTCCCATCGTTGGGAATAGTAGTTGTTATTGGCTGGTCCAAAAAGTCATTGAACACGATGTTCCAAACTTTAAACATTTTAATTTGAAATTTGGGGTGTCACTCATCACCCCATCTTTGTGATTACTTTATTGTTCTGAAATATTGTCTGAAATGTCAACAGTACTGCTGCTCGCCCAGGCCCAGTACCAGGAACCCTTTCCTTTTTTTGGTGAGTTCATTATGAGAATATTGGCCTTGATTGTTCCAGCTCAGCATCTGTTTATGTCAGAGCTCTCC